AAATGATCTCTGAGTTATTTTTTTTCTTTCTTTCCTCTTTTTTTCTTCTTTTAGTCAATGAAAGAGAAGAGAAGTTCGCTCACGATATCGAGCGAAATTATGGCGCGATATCGCGTCGTTCTGACCCCGCTCCGTTTATATTTCTTCTCAGTCAATAATAAATCGCACGCGAAGACTAAACACTAAAATTTCATTAATCACAAGAGTGAGAAGAAAGATGAAAATTTTCACATTGCGTACGCAAATCAACCCCGCAGCACGTACGCTTTTCACTCGCTCTGTTCGCTCCCCATCTCATTTTACGTAATTACTACACAAGTATACATATATATACATATGCATACATATATACATACATATATGTATATATACTTTTTTCGTAGCACACTCCACAAACGGCTGTTTACAATTTTAGGTAATCTTGCCGCTGGTCGATAACGATGTGTCATTGATCAATCGCTATATCGTCACCAGTACCTCTCTCTCTCTCTCTCTCTCTCTCTCTCTCTCTTTTTATCTCGATATATATATATATTCATATATATATATATATATATAGATATCAAAAATATCCTTAGTAAAATAGAGCATTTTTATGTATAACATACCGCGAATAAGTGCTTTTTATATTATAGTGTTATATATCTACTATATATATATATACTATATATATATTTATTTATAACGCTGTGTGTATGATATATATATATATATATATAATCAATATACACTTAATACCCATACCTTCATTCGTACATTCGCGCGCACAAGTGCATGCGTTTTATATATGTAAAGATGTGTCTGTGTGTGATCTGAATGTGTATGATTCTCATTAAGTCTATGAATGTATGAACGTGTGTACCTTACATCGCAAAATATATCTACATGTCCTTAATGTTCAGAGGGATATTTATATGTACATTATGTCAGAGGAATATATATATATATATATATATATATATACCGTGTTCTTCTGCAGATGCTGGATTCCCTTGCACGAAATCGTGTCCTGACACGCGCGAGGTTGCGCAAAAAAAGAGCCGCAACCTTGTGGAAATGCGAGTGACGATTAATGACGTTAGTGACGTTAATCGTTATCGCTCGATTCATGAACAATCGATATCGCGGCCAAGCGGAGGAACAACGTCGATAGACGCAAAAATAATGCAACTGTGAAATATCCTCATTTGTACGCGTGTAAAACGGTGATTCGCGACTGTGAAGTAAATACAGTCGAACAAATGGTAAAACAGTACAAGAGAAATTTTGTTGAATATGCAAACGGTTAAACGTTGGGATTAACTCGTGTACAACGACAACGGTCAAAAAGTGTATATATGCTTGAACGACGAGGCACACGTAATAAAAACCGAGGCCACGTGCAAGCAAACGCTTTTCTATGATTTATGCGAGTGGAGAATTACGCGTAAAATTTCACGAGAGCGTATCGCGCCTTCCTGTCTCTCCCTTCCTTCTCGAGGACCTCTAATTGCACGGAGACATTGCCGAAGTAAAATCCAGTGCAAGACAAAGATGTGTAAATATCTGTATTCCCAATGACGAATTTGAACTCATATCAGACTAGAAAATTGAGATCGCTTATCGACGCTCAACCGATCTGGATGCAGCAACCAGATCGAAACTGAATTCAAATCATGATAAAAGTAATGTATAATTACCAATAATGTAAAACTAATATGAAAAGCTAATGCGCGTGCGGTATAATGTAAATATAAATCGGCTATCCGTGTATAACAATATAAGATGAATAACGCGGCAATTATAACAAGCGAAATCCCCGATGCAACAATCCAAGGCAATTGCAATTACTGTCTCTCGTGGTAAAAATTTAAGATTTTTGGCTTGTCGCAAATGTGCGAATCGAGTAAAAAATTCACATCTTTTGACTTTCTTCTTCGGTACTGGATCAAAAACCAATGCAGTTCCACTTTGTGACATTTTGTTATGCATGCGTCACAAGCAGAAATCAATGTAGCATTCCCAATTTAATTTCGAAAATAAAAACAAAAATCTACAAGCAAGATTCATACAGACCCGCGCACGCGAGAGGTCACCTCGCGATAAATTTTCGGAGAGGATGCTCCATATACGAATTTAATATTCGCCCATCTTCCGACTGTGCGCACAAAAGGTCGAAAGGTGAGAGGCGGCACGTGGCCAATCATCGATTATAATTAAGCCTTCTACAATAAGCCATTATACTTATAAGATGTATGCAAATCGACTGACCAACATAGTCGATAATTTTTCGGAATAATCTACCGGTGGTTGATCAATTTGTTTATCATAAGATGTAAGCAAATCGACCGATCAACATAGTCGATAATTTTTCGGAATAATCTACCGGTGGTTGATCAATTTGTTTATGTCTTATGATTGACGGCTTTACGGATATCGTTCCGACGTGACGATTGTTCTTTCCGCGACATTGTTCCGCCGCCATTTCTCGCGCGAACGCTCAAGAACGAGAGAATTCTCTGCCGGCAGTTTATAGAGCGGTGCAAGGAGAATCTCGCATGTTAACAGGAACGTGGCGATACGCGGCGAATGCCGAATGATAGGAGAGGCCCCCGACCGGCCGCATTTTACTTCACGCGATGATCATGGGAAAAAGAAGGGCAAAACAACATATATAAAGGAGAATGAGAAACGCGGAGGAGACGAGGCAAAGAGAAAGAAAAGACCCCGGAAACTCACGCACTCCGTCGCACTCTTAATCGCCGACCTAACGGTCCCGGCATCCATCGCGATCGCTCGGGACGGGAAACGTGTGCGCGCACGTGATCCGGTTTGCCGTATGTGTTTTGTGTGTGTGTGTGTGTGTGTGTGTATATCGTATTATTGATTGATTAAAAAGTATAGAATAATTATTGTTCTATATATACAACGCGCGTTAATGCATAATGATGTAATAAATAAGCTCAAGAACGTAAATCTACACCTAACTCCTTACACGTGGCGTACTTGCTCTCTCTCTCTCTCTCTCTCTCTCTCTCTCTCTCTCTCTCTCTCTCTCTCTCTCTCTCTCTCTCTCTCTCTCTCTCTCTCTCTGTCTCTCTCTCTCTCTCTCTCTCTCTCTCTCTCTCTCTCTCTCTCTCTCTCTCTCTCTCTCTCTCTCTCTCTCGTGCGTACTTAAACATGTAGCTTCGTTTACAGACGTACCTTCTCTCGTGCATCTATCTATAATCGTTATTACTTACATTATGTTCCTAAGATCGAGCAGGCCAATATCAATAATAATTTACAATTATTCGGTGTCACCCGCGACGTTACCCTCTCGCGTCTCTCAAGGCGCTCGAGAAAGAACTTTTGCGTAGACAAAATATACAGAGACTCGCGGTGCATCGCTCGTATACGATCGCCGCGCGACTCTTGTGTATGTGTTTCGTTCATATGTGTGTGTGTGTGTTCTGTGTATATCAAAATTCTGTATTCTCCAGACGCGTTGCAAGAGGAACGAACTACCGATAACAATCGTCGTCTGTGTGTAATCGCACGATTCCGATATATATTTATATATGTGTATATATATATATATATATATATAACTCTAACTCTTTTTCTCTCTGCATCCTTCCCGCACCCAGCCTGTCTTCTCGCCTCTTAATTCTTACGAAAAATAGATATGTCCGATACGTGTTGATCAAATCGACGGAAAAAAAAAAAAAAAAAAAAAAAAAGTGAGAAAGTAAAGTGAAAGTTTAGCGAAAAATAGATTTCCGTACTGTTTAAATCCTTCCCTTCCGTGCGACGGATCTTACCAAAAGAGTTTATTAACTCTTCCCCCGCTACGTTATTCCTAACTAAATATATAAAAGAAAAAGATATAGGATAAAAGAAAAGAAGAGGATAACATAAGCGGTACGCTTAAGTTAATTCGGTCGTAATGCTGTTGCGATGATAAATTTGTTTTACAAATATATGCGAAGTGTTCAGTAAATCGCTTATCGATATTGCCAGCGAGACGATTCCTCGTGAGGAAAGATCAACACGATACGGAAGAGTCAATTGTAACGCGTATGCGTGTGCACGAAATAATAAGATACGACCGTAAAATGCAATAATACGTTGTAATTTTTCCATAGGGACTTCACAGGACGAGTAACGCGACTAAAGCTGAGAAGGACCGGCAAGAGCCACACACGAACGTCAGTGTACGATTGACTGTGTATCATAGTTATTTATAATTGTGTATTATAATTATGTTTGTAATTATAAATAATTTCTTTACAGCGTTACGAATAAGAATCCTTACGTTGTTTCGAGTTATGAAATCACTTCCAATTGCACAATCCATCGCGCGCTGACATCTGTGGCTAATTTTGTCATTTGACTTGAATGTTTTCTCTCTCGGGCTCCATGAACATGATTTCTTTTCTTTGAACATGATTTCAATTTTATCGAGAATTTTATTTTAATACCACTTGAGCGGCTTGAGATTTTCGCACAAAGAACCAAATTGTGCGCACATTCGCGGAAATAGAGCTTACGATATTTTACATTTTTCTCACTAACTCCTTTTTTCCCCCTAGAGGAATCATCCCTCCGGCAATTTGCAACAAGATTTTTACCGGACGCCTTAATGCATGCGGATGCATATATTCATCCACACACATGCTGCTCCAAGATCCTGGGTGTCATCTGTGTAATTAGACAATTGATAATAAAGTAACGATTCTGTCTGTGTCACTTTAGGCACTTTTCCATGGGAACAGCATTGTTCGACGTTTCGTTTAACGCGCTTTTATAGCTGAAGCTTTGGTTGTTAATATAAATGTCGTTAAAATCGAGGTGTCACAATTTGCTCGAATTAATCCTACTATCTACGAGTCTGTGTGATCACGATCGATACAACAAATGTATATATATATATATATATATACACATGTATATATATATATATATGTATATATATATATGTATATATATATGTATATATATATATATATATATAACTTACTAATTTACTTAGTCTTAAACGTATCCGTACAATTAATTATACCTCGTACATGTGTGAGGGTGTTGCGTGTGTACGTTGAGCTTCAGGCTCGGTAAGTGCATATCGCGATGCGCTCACGTAAGGCAAATTGATCATGTAGAGCGTTGATCACGCGCATTGGCGGCGATTCTCTCGTAGCTCAATCGACATCGGCACGCGTAGCAAGTCGCGCTCTTACGTACATAACGATCGATCGTTCGTTCGCCGCGCAAACACAAGACACGAAAAACAAGAACTGCATGCCAACTTACATCTTTCGTACTTATTCTTTCATTTGTCAACGGGTCTCGTGACGGTCTGCGGTATCACCGTCAGCGATTTCGGAATTTTCGGCAAAATCGGGATCGGATTGGATGGCTTGGTCGTGACTTGAATCGACTTGGGCAGGTTAAGATTTTGTATGAGATTATGCGTCGAGCTGTTCTCGTTCGCTGTGCCGCTCGTGCGCATATCGCAGATGAGCGGCTCAAAATCCCCGCGGCTTTGGCGATTCAGCATCTCCTGTTGCATTCGCAGATGCTGTTGGAACTGCTGGCTGTGCTGCTGGTTGTGCTGCTGGGTGTGTTGGCCTTTCTGATACTGCAGGGAACCCTTGAGACCGGGTGGCGAGCTCGAGACACTAACCAATGATCCACTTGGCACGCCGGACGATCTCTCGTTGAACTGCTTCTGCCGCTTCATCGTCTGCAGTCGCCTGATGTCCGCCTCGCTATATTGAAACACTTTGCCGCTGAAGGCGGCGGACGACGGTCTCTGCACCTCTTTCCGCTTCACGCCGCCGTTTGCCGTGCTGGTGGACGGCAGGCTGCTAACTCGCTGCAGATTGGGCGGCGGTTTCTTGATGATCGACACTCCTGTGTTGAGCTTGAGCATCCGCGGGGGCGATGAGCTTGCCTTCGTCGTGTGCAACGACGATGTCGACGGCTTCATCGAGGAACTCGTACTGGGCAAGGACGGGAGTCTGTTGTCCTTCTCCAGTATATAACCGCCGCTCAGGCGGCGCGAGTTTGTGTATTCCGACGGGACCCCGAATGGCTCCATTATCGGCTCGTCCATCTTCTCCGGGCCCTCGTAGGATATCAATCTGTTCTGCACTGACGTGGAGTAATTGATCGCGTTCCGCGAAGCGTTCGGCGCCAATATCAGATCGCCGGACCGATAGTACTTTTCCAGCAAGATCAAGTGCCGGAGGAAGGAACTCTGGTTACCGTACGGTCTCTGCAACTCTTGCCAGAGCATCTTGGTATCGCGGTCGTATTGGATCATGGTAGCACATTTCTCCCAACCCTGCGGTGTAATCTCGCGCACATTGCCGAATTCGATCTTGGCATGCAGATTCATCTCCTCCTCGCCTGGGAAAAGCGTGCGCACGCTTATGGAAGGATTCGCACCGAGTCTCTGTACCACGGGCGCGATGTCGTTGTTATTGTTGTTGTTGTTATTGCTGTTGTTGTTGTTGTTACTGCTGTTGACCTTTGATCGTTTCGGCAGTCGCGTCAAGGTGACCTCTTTGTCCATCGCGAGGATCTCCTCTACGTCGTTTGAAACATCACCGCATGAGGACACCGGCGACTCCGTCGTCGTGTACGACGCATGCAGGTCGAGTAGTTTGCGCTTCTTCAGGTTTTCCACGGCTCTCTCGATGCCGAGATATTGAACGTCCGTGACGGTCTCGTCATTCGCGCCTGCCGCCTTTGCGCCGCGAGTCTCCGCGTCCATCTCCGAACCGTTCGCGCCGCCCTCGCTTTTGCTCAGCTCCGGTGTCGATTTCTCTAATATCGAGTTCATCGTACGGTCCGGCGACTTGGAGCTACCGTTCTTGGATTGCGCACCCTTGGCGGATTTCTTGCGCTTGTCCTTGTCCTTCGCCTGACTCTGCACCGTATCGTCATCCTCGAACTCGGGAACCTCAATATCATGGTAGTGTAGGATCCTACATGACGCAAAGAAAGTACTCTCGTCAATGAAAAATACCTCGTCTCTCTCGGAGAAAGAAATGGAAAAGCGAGAAAAAGATAAGAGAACAAGGCTCGAAATCTCATGCTCACCTCTTTCGGTAACTCTTGAAGAAACTCCTGCTATTTGTGTTCATATTGTCGACGTCTTTGTACTTTAGCTGTAACTGCGTGAAGTAACGACATAGTTTGCAGACGAACGTCCCTGCTGCTAATATGACGGGGATTCCTTCTTGAGCGACCAACTGATTTAGTTCATCGATTTCCGCACTGGCCAGCTGATGAGTATGATTACGGACTAATCGTCGTTTGCATAACGCGCAAGTCAAGAAGCGCTCAATCTTGCCATAATGATTGACGCAGAAGGACATCGAAGTGTGTTGACTCGATTCCCAGTCTATGTCAACCTATAACGGTAACATCGCTCGTATAGACGTTTCGAAGAATACAACAAATGCTCATCAGCGCCACATAACAAAAATAACTTTTCCTTTTTTTCTTATTTATGCGCGCTCAACTCGCCTTGGTACAACACCGAGTTATGTATATTAACCTGATTTTGAAGCCCGAGTTTTATTTTGAGCAGCCAACGGCGTTTCACGTTATGCCGCGCTGGATCTCTGCATTCGCGAGCTGAGCACTTCAACACCATCAGCTGCCTATGCTGCTTCGGTGGTTTTTGCTGCATATTTGTCGGGCTAGTGTTCGCCTGAGGAAGAGAATCATACAAATTATGTATATGTGCGCGACATTATTCTTAATCGTTCATATTTAATGTCCGATCGATTGATCAGCCAGGAATCTCAGAGTTTTTACAAGGACAACGAACCTTTCTATCGACATGACGGTAACACGCGTCACATAGGCACGAGTCTTTTGTGAGATGTCTCTCTATGTTCAAGATCTTTTTACGTCTCTCGTCGGATTTCATCTGAGCCAGATGCATCGGTGTGTCGAGAGAACCGAACTTGCCGAAGCAGTAGCAACACACGTCCGCGCACAAGCGCTCGGGGTGTATAGAGAAGGAAGAGGACTTCTCTGGAATGACAAGCGACTGACGGTCCTTTGGCGTAGCTTCCTCGTTATCTTCATCTACGGTGATAAAATTTCAAGTCAGATACACCTCGTCTGTCACGTCTCGGTATATAACTTCTCTGCCGGCTTGGATTACGTGAACGTAACAGTTTATTAGTGAGAATAAAAAAAGAGAGAAAAGTTAGCAGATACCTCTTAATAATGTAAAAAGCAACATTCATGCATTGTTAAGGTAACAAAAAAAAAAGAAACGAAATATATATACGTATATAAGGCTGGTGTAAGTGTAGTTTTTGGAACTAGTGGTCTGTAAAAAAAGAACTGTACGGTATTCTATATGAGATTTCAGTGGGAACAAGCGAAACTCAATTGGTTTTCGGTTAAACCACTTGCGAGGATCTTACACGTAATATTCGGTGCGTATTGCGCTAGATCTTTTTTAAATTGCGTCAAACACACGGTAAGTAGCTTCAGAAACGCCGAGAGAAAATATGAGAATGAAATGTAGCGTTAACAACTTCGAATATTGATTGTGCCGAGATATTGCAACGAACTATGAACGATCTTCGATACACTGCACTAGTCTCAATAACCGTTCGCTTATAGAGTTAAAAAATTTTTTTCGGACTAAGCAGTGGAGGAAGAGTAAGTGAGATTATCAATTTTTAGTTATTCCCGCAACCAGGATTACCGCAAGAGTGTCTGTGGTTAGTAGTGAACTTTCGGTTCGCACCAGAGCTGCTATCTCCCAAACCACTGGTTCCAAACTGAAAAAAAAAGAAACAAAACGTAATGATTGATAAAGTATACAAGTATATCAAAGTAACCCATTGGCTTACTGATTTTACACGCGCGTACGGCCGTCGCTCAACAACTCTCTCAATCGTCAATCTTGAAAAAAGAAAAATTAGAGAGAGAGAGAGAGAGAGAGAGAGAGAGAGAGAGAGAGAGAGAGAGAGACAGAGAGAGACAGAGAGAGAGAGAGAGACAGAGGAAGATGAATAAATACCAGGTATTCTCATTATTGGTAATCAGGTAAGGTCAATTTTGAACTGCCAAATTTTGAACTGAACAAAGAGAAAGATTACAAAAACCATAATAATAATAATAATAATAATAACAACAACAACTGTAATAATAAAGAGAAAAACCGAAAAATGTAAAGAGTTGCGAGAAAAGACCGAAAATGTAAGCAAATGAGTTATGTTCTATCGAGCTTGCAGGAACCTAAATTCTCACCTCCTTTTGAATGGTGTAGAACTCGGGTGAGTCCCCCTCTCCGTCTCCGCGTCCCTGCTGCTTGAGAACCATTTTCAAGGGCGAGCGCGAACCCCTTTTGTCCTTGTCCTTCTCCTTTTGCACTCTGATGATGGTCTTCAGTGTACCAGTGTACTGCTCCTTTCGCGCCTTCTGATGATTCAGTCGTTCAGCGGCTTTCTCCAAGGACTCCAGGCCCAACACGCGCAAAATCGACTCCTTCTTCGCTTTGTCCTCGGGCGTCTCCAGAATCTTCGGCGTGCCGCTATTCGACGACTCGCCGGACGTGGAGGCCTCGTCGGAGTCCTTTTGCGCGCTCGCCTCCGGTGTCTTGAGAGTCTTGCATGCATCCGCCAGAAGGTCCACATCGTCATCCCGCTTCGACACGTGATTCTCGGACAGATTACGCGAGAGTCGCTCTTCGCTCTTGCCAACCTCGTCGACGGCGATCGTTAGATCGTTCTCCGATTTGCTGCGCAAGTTCGAGCTCTTCTCGAGCTTATCGAGCCCACCTTGCGCACTCTTCTCGAAGAAACTGTGGAAACTGTCCGCCCCGCGTTCACCGGCACCACCACCACCACCGTACTTGTTCAAGAAGGACCTGTTGTTCTCGTTGATCTTGGCGACCTCGTTGTCCAGCAACGTCTCCTCCTTGTTCTGCTGGTCTGCGGATTTTCGCAGGTCCCGTTTCGTACGCTTCGCCTTTAAGCTACCGCTCGTCAAAGGTGCCAGGTCTTCCCTGCGTCTCTTTCCATCTCTGCTGCGACGAGTGCGACCTGCCTGTGGCTCGAGGGGATCGACCTCCTCATTATTGTTCTGCGAGTCGCTTGTGTCTTCCGCTTTCTGGGAACTCTCAGGCACGCTTGTCTCGTCCACCGTCGAATCTTGCACCTCGTCGTTGTCGACGACTTTGTCCACGTTCGAGTTTGGGATCTCTGTCTTGACCTTCACGTTGTTGTCCACATGTTCGCGGCTACGACTCCCTTGTCTGTTCTCAACTTTCTTCTGCTTGTCGCGAGCCCGCAACACCCTCCTGTTTTCCTCGTTGGCTGGCTTCTGCTCGTCGTTGGAAGCTTTGTCGTCGGACGACTTATTGCTCTCGTCCGCCGTCAGGGCGGCTGTCTCGTTGTATCCTGTCTTTTGATTCGAAGCGCTCTCGTCCGCATTTTTCGGCGTATCACAATTCACGGGTGTGCCATCACTGGGCTGATCATTGGATTCTTTGCAGTTACCGCTATCTTGATCGGACTTACCATCCTCCTCGGTCTCGTCGTTCTGCCGATCGGAAGTGCACGTGTGTGTAGGCACAGGATTTACAGAGCTACATTCACTATTTGAATCACAGTTCGTGGTGGTTGATGAGTGATTATTGCTAGTCTTATGATGCTTCGCGCCTCGCACCGTCTCGCAGGCAGCATCATTCTCCTGCGATGTTTCCGTTGCGTCGAGGACAGTTTTCCCTGCGGAGACTGCACGGCTCTTGCTCGGCGCTTCTTCATTCGCGACGTCGGCCGACGACGCGGAATTGTCGTCGCAACGAGCGGACGCTTCGTGTTTACTCACACTTTGAATCTCGCGCTCCTCGTCCATCTTCATATCGGTAGTCTTCGTCTCTTCGTCTCTTAGAGTTGCATCGTCCGCAGGAGGCGGACTCGATGACAATTTGGCAGCCTGATCTCCCGCTACTAGTCTCTCCACCTCGCGCGATATACTCTCCAGCGTTTCCGAATCCTCCGAGCCGCCGGAAATGTTCAGAGAGATCTCGGTCTCAGACTCATCCGCATTTCTCGTTTGCGTACGACCCTCCGCGAGTCTCTCCTCTGTTCGCTCGAGAGATGTCAATGCAGGTATCGCCGAAGGCGATACGGTATTATCATCCGAATGCTGACGAGATACCGTGTCCTCTTTCGCTATGTCACAAGCAGGGGGGGCTGTGTCCTCGTTGGAAATCGGAGATTTCTGTGCGTCCGCGTCCACATTGTCCGATCTTGAGGCTACCTTGTTTGGTGTTCTGTTTGATTTCCTCGTCTCGGGACTACCGATGCTGTCTGAGCTTTTATCACTGATCCTCGGGGATTTGCGTGTAGTAACGGCCTTCTTATTTTCGTCCAGTAATTTGGAATCATTACCACTGACGTTGGCCGATGTATCGTTGGCCGCACTGCAACCGGTGTTTCCCGCCTCGGACTTGTCCACGCTGTCGCAAGATGTACCATTATTACTACTTATATTACACGTAGACTCGCAGGTATTATGTACATCGTTAATCCTGTCGCTACCGGAGGCTTTATTCTCTTGAGTGTTTTGCGAATGTGTCTCTGCTTCCTCAATATCAAACATGACTAGTTTCTCAATCTCTTTGGCAGTATCGGCCACTTTTGGTACTGAATTTTCCGAGCTTTCCGATGTGCTTTCATTTTCCGTAACGATGGACTTTTCCTCGTCGGTGTTCTCCTCCAAGCCCATTTTCTGGGACTCCGTGCTGAGTGGCGCAATAACTTCCTCGCTCTTGGGCATGTCGAAGCTTTTGCTCAATCCGGGACGATAAATCTTGTCTTCGATGGATTTCACAATAGTCAATTTAATGCCTTCTATAATTTTGTCTATCGGCGCCTTTGGAGTAGTGTCCGATTTGTCTGCATTGTAAAAAGAGTTAACGGTTTTCTTCATATCTATGTTTAAGCTATTTCTACGGCCTTTAGGTTTATCTCCGAGCTTTACTAAAATACTGTCTTTTCTAGCTTGATCTAAATTATTAAGTTTCTTCGAATCCTCCTGCGTGTCTACACATTTAGATGACATCCACGTGTCTTCCACCTTAGTATTATCGTCCTTCGTCGCTTCATTCTCCGTGCTTTTTGTTTTAGTTTTCGAGCGTAATGTTGGTCCTATCTCGCCCGTTCTGTCCACACGATCGCTATTATTGTTGTTCTCTATTTCCGACCCGATCTCGGCATCCTCGGCGTCAAAATTCCTGGACGCTTCATCCTTCAGCGAACAAATATCCTCCTTGGTTGGTGCTACGGTGGTCTGAGATTCGTTACAGCTAGGATCTGATAAGCAAGTGTCCATATTTACATTGCATTCTGAGATATGTTCTATCGAATTATCCGAAGTAGGAGGCCCGTCCGAATTTAGTCTACGTCTTCTGGGATCGATGTCCGAAGTGGAATTCCCCGAATCTGATAGATGACGTTGCTTCCCATTTCGCAGGCTACTTTGAAATACTTGGTCAATGGGATGACTGACCGGTAACTTCGACCTCTTCCTCAACTGGATCGCATTCTGGGGGTGGAGTCCTTGATCCGGCTCTATACATTCCCCATCTGATGTAACTTTCGTGTCTTCGGTATCAGGCTCCTTCTTTACCTCAATGTCGGCGGCAATATTTTCGTCTACCAACATTTTCTTACTTCTCGTTATCTTTCCCTCAATCTTTTCTGTAACGCTTTGTTGACTGTCAGTCTCAGAATCACTCAACATTGAAGCAATAACTGCGTCTATAGTAAGATCAATAGAACTCTTATTATCCAAAACGATTTTTGAAATTTTCTCAATGCTAGTATTGCTTTTTAAACTACTACCACAATCTAATTCCTTGCCAGTGTTCTTTTTACCCTTAGCACTTTTGTTATCACCCTCTGTAACTTTTACAATGTCCTTCACACTATTCTTCTTCAAGTTCGCTGACTTTGCTGTTTTGGCACTCTTAGACAAAAGATCAGCGTTTTCTATTGCTCTCTTCTTTCCAAGCTTAGGGCTGCTCTTTGTGCTGGATGTGACACTAGCCTCCTCTGTATCCTGTACGTCTTCGTTTCCTGATTCCCCTATGCTTCTCAAAGATGTAGATTTGGTCTTCTTGGTCCTGAGATTGTTCTTGGCACTTTTACTTGGTGTTTCAGTTCCTTTGCCTTCGTTGTCTCCGCTGCTTGTCTGATTCTCCGAAAGCCTCAGAGAGATACCAATTGATTTAACAGTTAACTCCTCACACGGCTTAACTTTCTTTGCTTTCACACCCTTCTTGACCTCAGAAGGTATCCCGCGTATATTCTTATTTGTCACTTTCTTGGTAACCTTGGACTTTATAAGATTTGCCTTGGCTACTCTTAAGTTTTGTTTGCGCTTCAGATTTTTCAGAGCCTTCCTGCGTGGCAAGCTAGCTTCTAGTTTAGCAGAAAGCTGATTACCTGTTGCTACTGTATCAAAAATCTCTCGCGCAAGTTGCTGCTGCTTTATACTTGGCAAAGATTTGCCTTTTTTATTCTTGACCTCATTGGATGGCAAGCCAGAGTCACTACTCGCCTTCTGTTTTGGTTTGGAAGGCGCTAAGGGTTTCTTTTCCCTGGATGCCATCTCACTTCCACCCACATTGGGCTCCTGTAATATCATTTACATCCTCTAAGATGCCATATCTCTTTACCAAAATGTGCATTTGTTTATCGCCAATTGTTTACAATAATAGCTTCATAATAATTTATACACATTAAATAATTCTCAACAACCGTCTATATCGATTCAGGAATATTCTAATATCATTAAAAACCGCACGGAGAACAACATATCCCATGTTAGGAGACCTGAATGTACAATAGAGAAAAAAAGAAAAAGAAGATATTACTCACTGACAAAGGTTCGTTTAAAAGGCAAAGAAAGTTCATAGAAAAGCGAACGCAATGAGTCAAAAAAACCTTAACGACGGTAAAGAACGACGGTAGTGTGTACGCGCGAGCCTAACGCGAGCAAAGTTTGCGACGCGAAAGCGGCGCACGGGATTTTGCGAGTATAATCAAAAGGCAAACACCTTCCTGTCGCGAACGAGGAGATAGGGACGAGGAAGAAAAGCGCGCGCGCGCGCGCGCGCGTGCAAGTGAGCGAGCGAACGGCGAGAGCGAGTGCAACGCCGAGCAAAGAAAAGCGCACGATCCTTATCGTCGGTGACTGACGCGCGGCACGGACAGGACGACGGGGTTGATAGATGCGGCCCTGGCCGCCAGAAAAATTACGTGACAAACTTCACATTAACACACGGATACACGGAGCGAGCGCCTCGTTGCGCTGCGCGACTACGGGTACCACCGCCACGGTGAAATATTTCGCGCGATATCTCGGCTCACGGCGAGCCGATCGTCGCGATTCCGCACCCGCGAGAAAGCGCGTGCCACATGTTAACTGCCGAGTGCGAAAATCCGGTCGGGATCGCGCTGGAAAGCCGTGAAATCGTCGCGACAAGTCGTCGCGAAAAAATCGCCACGAATAAACAAAAGGTCGCGTTCGACTCGGATTTTCGGAGCTGTAGCGCGACGTAGCGGGCCCGCGGCGCCGGCCGATTGCGGGCTCTACGGCAGCTCGGACGGGAGTACTCACCTCGGGGGCCGAAAATTCTGCCGTAGGTACGTGGTGATCGCGAGAAAACGCGGACGACAATCCCCGTGAAAAAGACGGTCCCGTTGCAGGGTGTACGCCGTCCTACTGTTTTCAGGCTACCGCCACCTGGCGGCCGAGCCGCGCGACCTCTCCCAGCCGCATAGCCCGTTTGCGATAATGCTTGGTGCGCGCGTTACTTCACCGCAAAGTGCAACCCTGCGCGCCGAGCCGCGCGCGGTTCGCCCGTGGTCGAAATAACAAGGGGACCGGCGCCGGCACTACATACAGCACGACGCGTGTTCGCTCGTGACTCCGGGAGGACAAATAAAAACACGGCGCGGACCGCCGGCAGCGTCGCGACGCCGCCGTGAAAATGAGAGCTACGGCGGCGGCGGCGGCGGCAGCAGCGACGACCGCTGCGGCTACAGAGCGCTCACCTCCTCACCTCGCCACCTCGTCTCTCTCGTCTCACGTCTCTCGTCACGTCTCGTCTCGTCTCACGTCTCTCGCCTCGCCTCGCCTCGCCTAGCCTCGGCTCGCCTCGCCTCGCCTCGTCGAGCCTCGTCTCGTCTCACCCCGTCTCACCGCGCCACGCTCGTCTAGCCTGACGATCGCTACGGTGCGTGCGCGCTAACTGACTTCGCGTTACACCGCGGATTTTAGCTTTGTATAGCCGAGCGAGTCCACCTACCTAAAGCGGGATCGCTTCGTCGTCGGCAGCGGCCGCGGAGGCCCAAGTCCGACCGAGGAAATGAACGTCAGCGGTGACGCGGTGGTACGCGGGTAGCCGCGACACGAGGACTACCCAGCGGTCGGCCGCGACAACAGAGAGAGAGAGAGCGAGAGAGAGAGAGGGAGGGAGGGAAAGAGAGAGAGAGAGAGAGAGAGAGTGAGAGAACACACGAAAGGGAAGACGCGCCCGTCGTACGTGCGCATCAATGGCGGCCGGACCCTTATTTACCGAAGTCCCAAAATGGCCGCCCTTCGAATTTTAACACGCGTCGACCTCGCCGCGATCCTGAGGCCCGCTCGGCCGCCAGATTACGTCGTGACGAGATCTCATGCGATCGCTCTCGTTGGCGCTCAGGTAATCGCGCGAAATTTCCACTCGTTCGCGAATTCGTCGTCCGTTATCCCGTTGCGATTACCTCGACACGATGCTGTTGAAGGGCCCTCTCATGTAGTCGTCACGAGCAATGTGTTCTTATGTTGTTCTCGGCTCTCTTTCGCAATCTTCGTGTCGTGATTACGATGTCTATCGGTTGCATCTACGCATCGATAAATACACAATTACGCACAACAAATTACAGCAATACGACAATGTTTGTTACAATACGTTTGTTACAAACGGTGATACGCGGTATGGGTGTCATGTTCGCGGAGTAGAGCACGTGATAAAAAGTTTGCTTCGGTTTAAACGCCACTTATCTGAGCGTGCTTGGTGCTTTGTAAAGCAACGTGTCGATCAAGCTCACAACCTTTTATTGCTGAATAAATTATGTCGATTCCATTAGTACCTGAGAAAATGTCATAATACTAACCTATAAGCATCGTCCATTAATAAGAGACTACACTAGAGCATGCATAATTAGAAAAAAAATATACGATTGTTTTCTATGTACTCATATACTTTGTATATAGTTATATGTGGTCATACAAACTGACATCGCCAAAATTTAAGATAATCTCAATAATTATTATTTGCTTTTTGCAGTTTTTCTGTTATATGTACGCAGTATAAAATACAAAAAATTTATATTACTCAAAACTATGTAAAAACTGATAAATTTCTTGTATCTAATTGTAATTTTTGATATATTTATGTAATATATAACAATTGTTGCTTGTCAATTCCTAACATCAGTGCACGGCTCAATAAATTAATTCTTTGTTAGATTCAACACAGATGGGCCAGTTACAAATCATCTCCTGTATATACAACACCTGAGGATTATACAGATTATGAGATAACAAAAGATCCAAATGAATGGAAATATGTAGAGCGTTTACTTCCATATAAAACAATACCTAAACCACCCACTGGTGACATCAAGTTGCCATCTGGTTGGAAACCAGCATGTGGTAAACTCTTATTCAATATTCCCTATACATATGTATTTCAGCTCATACATTAAAAAAATTATCCTATCCATCTGTTTTATAGCTTCACCAACCGATTATCCATATTTTATACGTCGTACAAGAAATCACATGCAACCTGTATATTTGGAGATTACATACAGAGGAATGAGAAAGATTACAATAGTTAGCAATATTGAGGGAGACATATGGGAATTAGAGCATGAATTAAAGACTTATTTGAAGAACTACTTTTTGAAGAAGAAAACTATTTGTTCTCAAATACACGAATTCTCAGGTAGAATTAAATTCCAAGGAGATTATGTATCTCGTATCAAGGAATGGATGGACATGAAAGGATTCTAAGAGTCTTCATGATTAGGAATAAATTGTTATCTACTGTAAATATAAGAAAAATAATAAAGTTGTGTTACCAAATATGTCAGTACCTTTACTAATAGTCCATTAACCATTTTACTCAGTTTTAATATGTCTCAAAAGAATTAGCAACCTTTCTTTTTTATTTTTTTTTTTTAATATTCACCCAATCTTACTTTTTATTGATTAGTCAAGAAGATAAGAGGTATTTTAACATTCTTCAACATTACTTTTATTAGTTTGAAAATATATATTTATGTAAATGTTAAAGAAATTACTCGTACACGTTCTTAAAGTGTCATAAGTGTAGTATATATATGCGCGCGCGTATTGCACATCTAATAATCTTAAATTAATGAAAAGATCTGAAATAAAAAGATGTACAATGTTACGCAAATATCGGATTAAATAATAATCATAACAAATCTACATGTATACTATTGGTAAAATAATTACATTTTCATAAGCTTAACATAGGGCTCAAAGTGTAAGTCTTTGCTCTCTTTCTCTATTTGTACGTAGTATATATATATATATATATATGATATATTTATCTCATTCTGTAGTATCGTTTTCCATACACATATGTAAGATGATACTAGTAAACACAAAATATGCGGTCAAACATGCTGATGATTTAAGTGAAACTATGAATGTGCCTTTGTGTATACACGCATATGTAAAATATCAAAATAAATATGCGATATTCTAATATTTTTATCTTGGATACAAAAGTTTGTGGATTTTAAATACTTCTCCCCATAATAAAACCTAATGATATTTTTATATATACGTTTGGAGTTATTTTCCAATGTTTTGAAAACTACATAATGCACGTTACATGATAAAGAGATCGAGAGAAAGGAATATACTCAGGTGAAAGATCCCGGATATGCTGCTTTATCCTATCAAATACAGGATTTTTAAAGGACGTGTACAAACTTTCTTGCGGTATATTTGTTACTTTTTTTTTTAGATTTATTTAATGCGAATAGATTTTTGTTTATTTGATGCAAGTGTCAAGATTTACTTGAAGACTTTTCCCTGGTTAAACTTGCGTCCTTCTTTATCCGTGCCAGTCCAACTGAGATATTGCTTAACCAAATCCTTGGTTTCTTCCTTAGATGGATCCAACTTTGTCCAACTATACGATTCATAATCCACTTGCCAATCTGGACTTAGCTATAAAGAAGAAAAAAAAGAGAAAGATGCATGTACACATTATATCTATATATACAAGCTACGTTTGCACTAAGACGTACTGTAAAAACAAGATCCTGTCCGCGCCAGATCCAAATACCACTGATAGTGTTGTCATTGTCATCTCCGAATATACAAGCACTAGCGAATGCACCTTTTCTCATAGTATCTAACCGTTGGTACATACCGCTAATTAGATTACATGACATAAAAACCTACAGGAGAAAAAGGTAGTATATTAACAGCATAATGTTCAACAACTTCGAAACACCAGTTTAACAAAAATGTGCCTACATACTTTAGTTAATTCATTGTTATATTTGTATTCGCCAAGCCAAATGCTATAATTTTCTGGATCGAACTTTTGCCAAAAGTATGGAATAGACTTAGATTCGTCTTCGTTGGAATAAAAACGTTTAAAATCATCGAGGTCAAAGGAGCTTTCAGGCATTGAAGCGAAGGGATTCTTCCTTTTCGGTTCGGCAGCTAAAGCCTCGTCTGTTGCATCAGTTTCTTCCTCTACTGCTGGAGCCTTTTCCGCTGAAGTCTTGGACTCTTTTTTTGACTCTTTCGGTTCCTTAGCCTCCTTTTTGGACTCTTTCTTTTCTTTCTTCGAAACCTATGAAGTAATAAAAGATAAGTTTGATATTTGTATGTAAAACGTCTTTTTTATATTTATATATTTTTCTTCAATACTAACCTTTCCTTGAGTTTCTGCAAACTTTTTGGGATCATATTCGAGAGTTTTATCTGCCAGTTTAAAGGCACCAATAACAGCAATAGATTCAGGTTGATAAATGACAGTTTGGAACCATCGATTTACATTCTGATAAGGTTTACGTAGTTCCGGCTCAAGAATATACTGATATAAATGTAACAATGTCATAGCTACACAAATATCTGCTAAAGTCAATCGCTCTCCCACTAAGTAAGTTCGTGTAAGCAAATGCGAATTTAAAACAGTGAGCGCTTTATTTATGTCCTCCTTAGCATGTTCAACAGTCTAAAAATAATTATAAAAAGAATCATTATCAAGTATTTTTTTAGTGATAACAATCATAAGAATTATAACCTCAGTGTATCATAAATGTACGCGATATTGTAAATGCATATCAGCACATATGTAAATATAACATTGAGGAGCTTAATCTACCTCCTTGAGTTACAAGAAATAGCTATGAAGTATGCTAATTTTGCCTTTGAAGGAGGATACATTTAATTGTATACATATGATAAACTAAATAAAAATACAGATAATATACAGAATTTACAGTAATACCTGCTTATGATATGGCATTATTCCAAGCAAAGGAAATACCCAAGCACAACTGGCAGGAAGAATTTCAGAATCAGCAAAATCAAGCCATTGGATAACCAATGCGCGTTCGATGTCAGTTTTTCCCTTTAATTGTTCATTAGCCACTGTAAATATAAGATATATATATATATATATACGTTCTCTCTATTTTTGCTAAACAAAGTCTATTGATGTAACTTATAAATAAACAGATAAGCTTCTAATACAAAATAAATCTTTTCAAAAAAGATTTAGTCTCTCTTACCATAGTAAGCAATTGCATTGCTTTCTGTAATACAGTTACCATCGCATGTCTCGAATGCTGGTACCTGAAAAGTTTACATAGTGCGCCTTCAATTATACATTAACCTCAATTATTACCAACGGCTTAACTCTTATAGATTGCCATTGATATATCTGTATATTAATCATACAGTGATACATAGAGGTATATAAAAAAATGACAGTATTTTTTAGCCTTTTATACTTTTACTCTCAATTTTCTCTTTTGCTTCTATGCTGAATACTAGCTTCGTTTCTAATATAAAAAAATTAACATGATGCAACTAAAAAGAACCATTCTTTATCCTTCTTTCATCATATGTGACAAGATCATATGTCAGCTGTTTCATTATAATAATGGTAAAACATTTGTGAAGGGAACAAAAATGAACAATGGTTCAAAAAGATAAAATTTACCTTGCCTAACGGGAACTTTTTCAAGAATGCCTCGCTCTTGTTAGTCTCGCCGAATACGAAATCTTCAGCGACTTTGATCCGGGCGCCAGAGAACTGGGCCGCTATCAGGGCCTTGTAGGCTCTGAAGTTTTCCGGGTACGTGTAGAGGGTCTGAAAAAAATGAAAGGAATCGCGGTTGCTACGTTAATCGTGCTTGATTTTCGTATAATCCGGTAACACCATCGACGTGCCATCGCGTCGATGCCGAACGGTGAAAATCCGCGTGAAAGTCACTTACTCCGGACGCCATTGTATCCAGTCACGCGAAGAGGAAACGAAAGGCCGGTAAAGATCGCTCTGCTTGAATGCACGAAGCAGCACGACGTACGCCGCCTATGAGACAAGGCAGGTTCAGATTATGTGCGATATCCTATGCGATGACATTCATTTCCAATAGGAGAATTTATTTTCCATTTGGTACAGCCGAATTATAAAATTTCGCATTAGATCATAGAACTATCCGAAATTTGTTATTTTTCGATCGAAAATTGGAAATTGCCAGATTCTGGCTGGATAATTCAGGCTGCGTTCCAAAATTCACTGCCAATACTGAAAATATATAATTTGTGTCACGTATACTATAGATTTTCAGTACTGGCAATGAATTTCGGAACGCAGCCTCAACAGCCACGAATATTATGCGAATAAGCCTTAAGTTCGCATCAGCAACAACATATATATTTAGACCAAGCATTCCTCTCGCAGGATAAAATCAGAAGTAGCTTGGTTCGAAACATAGTGAAAAGTTGTTTTGAGTTAAGTTGCTTTCTCCTTCTATGTTACAGCATGTCTTGTTACAGTAAAAAGAAGTTATATTCATTGTTATGCAGCCTGATATTCACCAAGATAGTATAAGGTGATATAGAATAAAAAACTGAAGCTATAAATGTCTTCTTTTAGATATATTGTTAATATACATGTTACTTATGCTATGTACAACTAATTATACTACAAATGTAGCAATACTTACTTATCACAAAGCTTGATATAAAAGCTATTGATATTACAAATTTTGTACAGCATCTATGTGACATTCTTTTACATTTTATTAGTGAACAGGTATTTTGATTACTTTGTTACATATTATTTGCGTAACATTGTTATAAGTAGTATCATAAGTGATGAAATATTATTGTATCATAATGTATTATAAGTGATAAAATGTAACATTAGCCTCGTATTTATCGATTACAAATTTCGAAAAAGAACTTCGAAAAAGAAACAAAATCAGAAAGAGAATCCCGTAAATGTCAATAGTGACAGTGACAGTGTGTAGTGACTAGTGATAGTGAAGATGATGAATAGAAATATTGAACAGTCAATTGCAAAACAGTTTGCACGATTTTTTCGGATGCGTTTAAGAACGCATCCGAAATGAATGCAACACGATAGCACCGACGAGGCAATTCTCAAAGTTGTCAGCATTAGATAAATTTTATATTAGGCCTCGAGTAGCTTGGAGATAATTCAAGAGTCATAACAATACCGATTATTCTAGCTATATTCACTTCCAGTACCCAGCACTGAAAATCTGTATCTGAATAAGCAGTGCAAATCATTTTGCAATTGACTGTACCAATAAATATCGAATTGAAATTAGTATATTTCATATTGATGGTTGCTGAAACGTACGAAAAGATCGTTCTTAATGAAAAAAATATCATTTTCGTGTTTATCGTATATGCATCAATTTCGTTGATATGTTTGCAGTTCAACATCAGCAGAATTGAATTGTTCATTGCGTATCTGAATTATTCGATTAATCTATGGTGAGATTAGAAATGGCGGCTCTCAAGGATGTTGTTTCTTTGTATCAAAATTTAAAACGAGAATGGACAAAAAGTCCATGTAATTTGACAAAATGTGGCGAATTGCTTAATCAATTAAAGGTAATTTATTCGTTCTGTTTGCAATATTAAATAAGATAATCATTGACGAAATATCACGACTATAACTTCATCGTGTTTGTGTGAGTGTCAAAATGGATTGTCATCGTTTCTCATGAAACTTTATAATGTTTAAAGTGTCCTCGACACTTTTGCTTTTGAATATGACTATACGTGTAAATTTGATAACTTATATATGTTTAACGTTGATAATTAAATCAATTATCTCCTGCAGATTGGCCTTACTCATCTGATGTTCCTCCCGACGTCAAACAACACTGCTAGTCAAAATGAATTGCTTATTGCCAGTATGTATATTGACTTACTTTAAATATCATGATATTTATATCACAGTAATATATTAAACAATATACCGTATAATTAGAACAAGTTGGTATCAAATAAGAATAAAAGGATAAAATATCTTTAGACTCTAAAAGGCAGATACAAAGAAAAAAGTCCAAAGCTATTTAGATTCCTTTTTATTTATTATCTGATAACCTCAACAAGCTTTATTAACAAACTTATTAATTAGCTTTATTAATTAATTTTGTGACACTACGATTATCATCTTGATATAACCTTCCATGAATTACAGGAGATATATTAGAGATTGGAGCACAATGGAGTATTGCAACTGAAGATATACCTTCTTTTGAGCGGTATATGGCACAATTAAAGTGTTATTATTTTGATTATAAGTCTGGATTATTGGAATCAGCATACAAGTATCAGCTTCTTGGTTTGAATCTCCTGTTTTTGTTATCTCAAAATCGAGTTGCTGAATTCCATACAGAACTGGAGCTCTTGCCATCAGATCAAATACAGTCAAATGTCTATATAAGGCATCCTCTAAGTCTGGAGCAATATTTGATGGAAGGTTCATACAACAAAATATTTTTGGCCAAGGGCAATGTGCCTGCTGCATCCTACAATTTTTTCATTGATATTTTACTGAATACCGTGCGCGATGAAATTGGTGCGTGCATGGAGAGTGCATACGACAAGATCTCCATTCAGGATGCTGCACGGATGTTGAATTTAAGCACGGAAAAAGACATCAGAACGTTTGCTTCTAAGAAGAACTGGAATCTATCGAAGGATGGCTACTTTTATTTCAGCACGACTAATGAGAAGAAGTCTGAGGAGCCTATTCCAAGTTCTGAATTGGCAGCTCTCGCGATAGATTATGCCCGAGAATTGGAGATGATTGTATAATACATTTGTGCATTTTTCTGTACTTTATATTTAAATAAACATTGTATCACTCCTCTACAATGTTTGCAAATCTAGCCTCTTGGTTTTTGTAATATATATATATATATTTAACATATATGTATATTGAACTTTTCTAGTTTTTTTTCTAATGTATACATGTGGATTTTACAAATTTCAAGCAAACATTTTATTTATCAATAATATCTGATAATTATGTACGATAATACTTTTCATCGTACATACACAGAATATATTATAAATAATTCTCAAATTATGTTACTTACAAAAAGAATATTATGCTATTGTCACCAAATATATAACAAAATTTGTTAATCGTTATTATTGTTATCGTTAAAAATGGCGGTTCAAGTGACAATTACACGAGCAAGTAGTAATATGGCGCCCGCCGAAACTGCACAAAAATTAATTAGCCACGAGAAGTACTCGTGAAACGCGAATCGCGAGAACAACGACGTAACATGCGTAAAAAATACATAAAACCTATGTTTGCATTAACTTATATTTACTCATGTCGATCGTGCGACTTCGCACAGTGGAATTGTGCATAACCACGAATGTACTCGTAAACACGTAACAATTGCACTTTTCAAGTATACATCTTACGTGGCACTGTTTATCGCCAATATCAGATCGTCTCTTTTAACGAGGCGAATACGTACGTAAGTAACATCGCATATAATTATATTATATTTTAACAAGAGCAAATAATACGATATAGTATTAATTATCGGACATGTTTTTTCATGTTTGATATAAACGATTCATTTCTTTCGTCACGAATTAATTAGAAAATAATATAATGCAGAATCGGTGTTTATATCTTAAATTGATTATATTATCTTTTGTTTGAAATTTAGTAACACAGTATTTACTAAGAACAAGAATTACTTTTCTTTCATTATAACCACTACATGCTTGTAACTCATTACAGATTTTATAGAAATGCATGAGAAGAGAAAAAAATTGCAAACTATGCGTGCTTTAATACTCGTTGGTGGCTATGGAACTAGGTTGCGACCTCTCACCTTAAGTCGGCCTAAGCCACTCGTCGAATTTGCTAATAAGCCAATGCTTTTGCATCAGATTGAAGCACTTGTATATATCAGAATATATAAAAAATTGGGTTATCAAAGTCTCATCCAATATTTTAAATATGTTTCTTTCTTATGTTTAGGTACAAACAAATGTAACAGAAGTAATATTGGCTGTCTCTTACCGAGCGCAGCAGATGGAAGAAGAATTAGTCCATGAGACAAAGAAGTTAGGAGTACAACTTATTTTTTCTCATGAACCAGAACCATTAGGTACCGCAGGACCTCTTGCACTTGCCCGTGAATATTTATGCGCCAGTGATGACCCATTCTTTGTCCTGAACTCTGACATCATTTGTGATTTTCCCTTTAAACAACTTCTTGAATTTCATGAAAGTCATGGGAAAGAAGGAACTATAGTCGTCACTAAAGTGGAGGAACCATCAAAATATGGTGTAGTTGTATATGGAGAAGATGGGAAAATTGAGAGCTTTGTTGAAAAGCCACAAGAGTTTATATCCAACAAAATTAATGCAGGTAGGATAATGACATTCGTATGGGAAATTTCTAGCAGTGGATTGTATATATATATATATATATATATATCTCGGTAGTACAAAAAAAATTCGATATTCATGAATACAGGAATGTACATCCTTAATCCCAGTGTACTGAATAGAATAGAATTGAAACCCACAAGTATTGAGAAGGAAGTTTTTCCAAGTATGGCTCAAGATGGAGAATTGTATGCAATGGAATTACCAGGTTTCTGGATGGATGTAGGCCAGCCTAAAGACTTCCTTACAGGTAAACGATATGTTTATAGAAATATAATATAATTTATACATTATACTTCAACTACAAACAGTAATATTATATATTATATAATTATATTATATGTTTGTTTAGCCATATTTAATCGTTATTTATATATATTATTATATATATAGAAATATTATTTCATATAGGAATGTCTATGTATCTTACTTCGTTGAGGCAAAAACATCCTGAGCAACTTCATTCTGGACCTGGTATTGTAGGCAATGTCTTGATAGATCCAACAGCTGTGATCGGCAAAGATTGCAGAATTGGACCTAATGTTACGATCGGACCTGGTGTCACATTAGCGGACGGATGCTGTATTAAACGAAGCACTATTCTTAAAGCAGCTGTGATAAAAGAGCACGCGTGGCTCGATGGGTAAATAATTATTGCATTATATATATTAAATTGTTTACTTTCTGTATAGACACCAAAATTTTTATACATCTATAACATTTTCATCAACAAAATAATTTGAAATATTTATACAGATGCATAGTTGGTTGGAGGAGCGTTGTAGGGCGATGGGTGAGAATGGAGGGTACAACTGTGCTTGGAGAAGATGTTATTGTAAAAGATGAACTGTATATCAACGGCGGACAAGTTTTACCGCATAAGAGCATTTCTACTTCTGTACCAGAACCACAGATCATTATGTGACCAAAGACCATAATTTGAGCTCGAATTAGCGAAGGCAATAATAATCCAGATTAAGAGATACGATTCCAGATTTATAACAGTTTTTGAGAGAAACGCGCATAATATTTTACAGTAAATATGCAGAGATACCAGTAATCTGCATATTTATCTAACTTATTTCTATTCATTTTTATTATTTTTTATATAGTTATCGCACTTTTTTGAAAATTTGGCATAAAGATATTTAAAAATATAAACATTTACTCTATAATCAATTGCTGTAATCTTGTTTTGCCCTCCTATCACGTTACATGTGATTCAAAAAGACCTTACATCAATACTGCAAATATCAGTCGCAATATCGGAGAAATTTATACAATCTTTATTGGTAAACCTCGCACTATTATCGCGGCTGCAGTCATGTAATGTGTGCAAATATTCTTGGACTTTGCCACTGCTCTCAACATTTCTGACTCCATTTTTGTTTCATTCTTTTCAGCATTCTTTGTGAATTCTGGAGAATTTGATTAAAGATGATTATCCCATATAATTAGAAAGATGTAAATATTTCTGGTTTATAATACTAACTTAAACTACCATACGTCCACCTGTTAATGTCCACTTCGGCCCAAGATTTTTCGGATGTCGACGGAATCCAGTTACTCACAAAGACTGCAGTCATTTTATCAATATCGACATCTGTTACTTCCCACAGCATGCCTAAGAGACAAGGACTAAAAATCTAATGAATATACTAATGTGCAAAATATCAAAGTGCGAAAATAAAAAATTACAGATAAAGCATACGTTTAAAAATTTAATGATTCTCTTCGACCAAAGAAAATAGGCAAAATTCAATCAACACTTCAATGTTTTGTATATACAACAAATTTCTTAAATCACTACTAATTGCTGTTGTTTTTTTGCCGAGAAGGTATTGTTAAAAAGGTCTGTTGAATTTCGCGATTGAAAACAAAATAATTCTCTCAATTTCGCGCGTAATGTACAGAACTTCTCAGTTTTACATTTGAATAAAAAAAACATTTTCTTGTGCATATTATAGAGAAATAAATAAATGTTCTTTTTACCTGCATGCTATTAAATATTGGTTTGCGATACCGTAAGGTGGATATTTTCCGCCTATCATAAGTAACTTCATGCTGTTACATCCGAATAATAAAGCGGTCGATTTCACTTTTGTCTTCTCAATATTTTCTCCAGACAAATATTGTGTGCCACTTCCGTGACCATTATACCTACACATGAAAAAAAGATATAATCAGAAAGTAATGAGATGAAAGTCCGATTACAAATAGATATAAAATTTTTTAATTTACATTAAAATGTCATGATTTACTAGCGCATCTTCAAATATTTCTTCACTAGGCTTTGTGTCATAATAGCTTCTCCATTGTGGTAACCAGAAGTCTATGAAAAGTTTCATTCGTTTTGCCATTTTATGTAAATTATCCGACGGATTGACTATGCAAATACCCATGTCCTCTTTGGCTTTAATGATTTTACATCCTTCTACTATGGTGTCCTCATGTTCTTTGAATAATGCGTACACTAAATGTAAAGATTGAAGACGAGTAACAGGATGGTTTTTAATGATTTCCATTGCTTCAAATGCTATGTAATCTATATGCTTGACAGAATAAAAGATACGAAGTTATAACAGAAATTTACATAAACATATACTAGTACATAGTATATTTAATTATTCCTGAACATTTTATATATACTTACTTCATCAATTATTAAAACTAATGTCTTCCGTTTCGCATCTTTTAACTTTGTTGTACGAGATAAAATGCCATAAATAGATAAAATAATGTTATTTGCAAGTTTTTCATATTTCATTTCAGGAAGTAGGAATTTAATTGCACGTGCTATTTCTTCACATGTAAGAAAACATGCACCTGTGGATACTTTTTTCAAGAGCCATTTACATCGCTTGGATATTTTGTCACTGAAATATACAATAATGAAATCTAATGAATACTGCGAATAAATAACAATGTAGTGAGTTTTAAAATCTAACATTCACTCACGAAAATTTGGAATCCAATATCAATTTATCAATCATTTCATGAATTTCATTTATTATTTCCAAATCCTCAATAGGATCAGCCATAAATAACACTCTCCATTCCCTCAACCATGTAGTCTCCAGCCCATCTATAGCCATCTATAACAAGAGTTATCTTGTGAATTTATATATTACAAAAAAATATAGAATTCATTGTTGGTTTACCTTCATCTTATTATCTTGTTCTTTGCGCATTATCCAATAATATTCATTTTTTGTATAAGTAGCTTGTAGCTTGGTTTTGTAACTATCTAATATATTTTTTATTTCTGTACAGATATCATAAGAGACTTCCATCTCAGGTTTTGGCAAAGTTATACATAGGGGTTCTATTTCAGATGGTCCTGTTGGAAGTATTGTAATATGTATAGCACTCATTAAGTTAGATATACTTCTGTACTTTAGTACGTTTGAAGATTCATACTGAACAGTAACTTGGAGTATGTACCATTCTGTGGATAGCATAAAAAAGAAATATAAGACATTACAAGACATTAAAGAAATATAAAACATTTATTCAAAGACATATTACACAGAAAAAGAAAATGTGTATATATGTACATAAACCTTTTGGTAGTTCCACCAGTTTTGATTTTAATATATCGTATGAAAATTTGGTCTCAAATTTCACATATGTTGGTTTCAGCCCATATGTTTGTGGTATATTCAATAAGGATTCGCGCATTTGGGTTTTTTGATGCCTATGTAAAATCTGTTGTCGAAGGATCACTGCATGAGATTCAATTAAATGATGGATAGCCAAGAGTTCATTTCCAATCTATAATATAAAAAGAATAAACATGTATCTGGTATTAATACTGATCCATTCAAATTATATTTCTATCTATATATATATTATTGTTATTGTAATAACACACAAAATTGTTACTCACCTTTAAATTACAGGTAGCTATCATTTTATTTAAACTAGCATATTCAACACATCCTACATAGTTATTTGGCATACTTGGCATACTTATAAGTAATCTTTCTGCATGACTCTTGATTTTTTCCAGGGACTTATTCAAATTCCCCGATTTATCCTCATAATTATCTTTATTGGGATGACATTTATGTAAGATTTGCATAATTTTATCAGTAACATGTGCCATAATTAGTTTGTACTGATGCAGTTAATTTTAGGTACAATAACTTCATCACTGTTCAAGAGTGTTACAGAAAACAAAAATTTGTAATGTGCGATTCTACTTATTCATTGTTTCTTGACAATTGTGCGACTCTTCACAATGCGATACTAATAATGATTCTCTTTACAATTCTCCGACAATAACAACATTTTATGACTAAATCAAAAACTACTCAATACATACATTCACTAAACAATAGAAATGTACATCCAGATGATATACGTATCCTTAATTAAATACTTGTTATAAATTTTCAAACAATCTTGCAAATTTCAGTCTTTAGTTAACGGTCATAAGTTAAATCAGAACATGCGCATGAAAGCTATTACACTAGCGACATCTGCCGGTAGAGATGAGTGATAACTGAACGATGAATCGATCTTGATTCTATTATAGAATCGATTATTTTTTCGATACTTTTACGTTTGAATTGTACATATATTTAGTATAAAAAATCAAATTCAAAATTGACTTTTTTCTTTATATGTAAGGTTGTTTTAATTAAATCAGATACATAAACAATGTTCAATATTCCAGAGTCCTTTGAAATTTAAATGTACAAAAAAGTTCAATTATATTACGAATTCATTAGTAATTAAAAACGATTGTATGCTCATGACTTTTATTCAACATATATATCATAACAGCTTATAAAAAAATGATGTATTTTCAAAGTACTTACAATCAAATTACAGCCAAATCATACTCAATGCACAATAATGTGCATATGTATATTGTACAATTTTTACTTACACATTTTGCCTGATTCATACAATAACTGGAGTTCCAGTCCAGTCATTGTAAGTGCGAGTACTAACAATACTACTTAACGATATCAAAAGATATCATATGTATAAGTTTCAAAAGCACTGGTATAAAAATTATATAATGTTATTACTGACATAACGAACGATATTACAATGAAAGTAATTAACTGGCATTTTTGTAAAATCACATAAACGATTCTACAAAATACAATTTTGTAGAATATTATTGTACTTTGTAGAATCGTCAGAAATTTTACGGAATCACCAAATTAATCGCTTTCACTGCGACATACATATAGGCCATATATTCCGTTCGCGAATGTAAAACTGGAAATTCGTAAGAGATACATACCAAGACGAATTATATCTCTCGTCAATTTCCGGTTTCTCCCACTGCCATGGTGAAAGTACACGAATGTTAGATCTACATGTATATATACATATATATATATATATGTCGTTGATTACTACGAGCGGTCATTAAACTTACACGTTTAATCGTACTTCATCACAGAGAGATAAACATTCTTGATACTTGTTTTCCAAGATATCTCGTTATCAGGTTAATGTCGGTTATTCGAGAATTTGTGGTCCCACGAAAGACTGCTTGTTTGCGATCTGGTTTAGATTCTCGCCTGCATATGATAGCAACGGAGAAATCTCGACATCGTTACCGACGTTCTTCGCACCCGCGTTTAGCAACCACTTCTTATGCAAATTTAGCAGGTCGCTACGCGCGGTACTCGGGCAATCTTGACCGGCGGAGTTGGAGTTTTTCAACGGGCTAAATTCTTCGTCGCGAGTGCCCTGCCATACCGCAAAGTTCTTCGAAAAACGAAATACATCGAACACGAATTTCTCTATTTTGATACCGTTCGGGCTTTTTGGAGTGATTCTCTCTCCCTCGTCATTAATGTATGGAATTTTTTTCTTTGCGACATGCAAATCCAAATCTTTTTCGTGAAAGTATCCAACGTCCTTCAGGAAATTGACTGTAAAGTAGTGGTTGCATATATTGGCAGCATTATACACCAATTGTCCATCAGCATGACAAAGTTCCGCAGTATCCTTTGTGATCTCACTGTATTCAACTACTTGATAGTGGTCCTCTACCTGCATTATACGAGATAAAGATGATAAATTACAGTGGATACATAGGATATACATATATAAATTTAATATATTATGGATTATATATAAAAAGAAAACTTGCCTTGCAAACTACACCCACTGCTTCAGAGGGAGAAGATTTCTCAATCACTTTAACCCCACAATCTGTTTCAGAAACTAAACAATAGCCTAGAAATATAGGATCTGCTACTTTCACCAAGATATTATCCACGGAATGTGCATGTATACTCCGAATCCCACGTTGCATCATATCATCCAATATTCCTTGATTTTCCAGTGCACGATACAATCCTCCATTGCCATCGGGTGCTTTGGAAATGCGATGCTTCGCATCCAATATAATCTTGCCATCAAAGGTGAAACATGGTAACATACCTTGCTTGAAAGCTTTGACATTTTTTTCTTTCAAGCCAAAGTAGTTGTGCTTGCTAAGATAGGTGACAGTAGCATCATGAGTGGCTTCACTGGTAAGAATATACCTGAAAAATAAAATTCATTTAATATTTTTTTTTCCATCATTCAGTGATCATATGACATTATATATAAAATTCCATATATACATTTCTCAAGTAGTTTTAATGTTATAATTATCTTACATTTATTCTGCAATAATTGACTTGACAACATACCAAGTTATCTCTCCATATTTTCCACACTGTTGTTCTGCAATATTCTGCAAACGTAGTATCCTCTCTGCCTGCAATTGGAAGAGAGTTTTATGCGATGGTAAGTCAATATCATATATCCCTTTAGGATAAGTCACTCCTAAACGTGTGCCTTGACCACCCGACATCAACAATACCGCTACACGACTTTCAGCAACTTCTTTTAGGCCAAGTTCCTCATACATTCTCAGCTCTTCCTTTGTGGATGTTTTGGCAGAAGCAATCTTTTTTTCATCTATAGGCTGTACTTTGTCATCCAGCGTACCTTTGCCAATGCATTGGGAGGATTCTAGTGCTTTTTTAAAATATAAAGTAATCTCTTGTAGATTCAATTCATCAATGTCATTTTCCAGGTGATGCCTGTCCTCGTCTGTCAGCTCCTCCCAGAATCTAAGCAGATGTTCCTGATTGTACTCAGCCAGCTTCTTCCTCTGACGCTCCATTCTCGCCGACAGCCGATATTTGACACTTCTGAACAAATGTAAAACGATGGATGGATGGATGGATGGTGTATCTCCCTATTGTACGTCGTGTTTATCGTCGTTTCCCCTTCAAATCCTTTGATAGTGGCCTACGTCACTCTCCGTTCCGGCACAATGTGTGAGGGAGGGAACAATCGGTCGGTCGACTACCAACGAGCAACAGGTATTCATCGAGCCCAAATGACCTGTGTCGAAAGTTGTTGCTCCTGCTGTGGCGGCGGCGGCGGCGGCGGCGACGGTGGTAATAGCGACGTACCTTCACTTTCACAATTCCACGTAGCACGCTCGGTTCGATTTCTCTTATCGATCCCTCCCGCCCTGCCGGCCTCTCCTGTTGCACGTGTAATTTTCCTTTTCCTCGTCATCGTGCCTCGTTCGCACACCTACGTGATCCAGTCGACCGGTATCGACGCTGAGAAAAGTCATCTCTTTCGCGTACACATCTATATAGATATAACCTGCGCGTTGTACAATTCGTATGTATAAATGTCCTTATCTCTGCAGTCTTTTCTCCCGATCGACATTGAACAAAGTCCTAGCCGTATAGAAAAGCGTCGATAAGGCGTATCGGATACGTCAAGGAGAATGCCTCGAGAATCTCGGGCAGGAGATAAGACACGAATCTTTCGTCCTCCGTCAGCGTATCGACCAACAAGCGAGCCGAAAAGGTGAAAGGTCGTGGTGAAAGCGAGCGACCTTGATTTCCATCGCGTTGTTCTTTCGGACGAGGCTGCGCAATGTCGGAGGTGACCGCCCAGGCGGGAATCCGGGCGCGATGTCGCGCTCGCGCATTCATTAGTGATGACGCGTGATATTCCGAAAGATATTGAGAAAGTGAGGAAACGGTTGATTTTTTACGTGGCTTTGAAAACGCGCATTTTGTCGCGACTTTAAAGAAAAATGTCGCTCTCGATCAATCCCGTGTGATTATATGGGTTCACAACGCGGCTCAATGAAGTAGTTTTCTCTGTCGCTGCCTTTTTTCTGACTAATCAAGCATTTGTTCATAAATAACCATTTAAATATTTCATTCGTTATATAAACTGATCTCTTTTAATTGGTACATGCAATAATAACATATAACATTTAGAAAACTTAAAGGCAGAGAGGAAAAAATTGCAAGATGCAACGTATGCGAAAGAAGAATACAGATATTTCGTATACTATTTAAAAAAATCCTGCGCGAGAAAGAATCAATATTATCTGTTGCTTTAATCGCACGAAAGATACGAGTTACGATGTGCGAGATACGAGTGCGCGTCGGAGGTATATTGTATATAAAAAGTCGCGATACTCGTTTAAAAATTGTCCATTCTTTTTAATCAGGAAGCGCGACAGGAAGCGCGCGTTTGATAACGTCAAGTTGTCAAGCTGGAGAGCGCTAGCTTTAGCGTTTTTTACGCCTACATTTCGTTCACGACGCACGCTGCACTCTTCCATGCGTTTCGTATTCCATTTGAAGCAGTTTCGAGCGGACGCGCCGAGATGAAGCAGGCGCGATTAGTTGCGGGCGACGACGACAGATGGGGTGCACGCTCGGCCGAGAGAAACGGAGCGAGGTCGTCTGTCGCCGTGTTGCATGCGTATGCGCCCCGTCGTAACCTACGAAGGGACACGATGCCACGGTGCCTACGGCGATGAAATAACGCGTTCTCGCACACGCGACGATGTTCGAACGGTGCCGGTACGACGAAAAACTATGTACAGTGTTGTGATATGTCCGCGTAGCGTTGTCAACAGCCAAGTATCGCACGCTCTGCTCGGTAGATGTTTCTCGGTAAGTTGTTTAGCGCTCGCCCCGCTGCCGACTTCTCGAGTGTCATCGTTGAACTGTCACTGTTTACCTTGTCACTTAGTCGCTCGCTCTCGTCAGACGGCGGTCGGAACAATCTGCAAAAGAGACACCTTACCGAAAAGCGATCAATCCGCGCGTCACTGTCACGACAGGGACTTTCAGACCGCGAATTCGTGGGCCGGCGTCGCCCAATAAGCTCGTTTCCTCTTTTGTCGCCCACACGCGAACACGCCTTTCCATCTTATGCGTGAATCGCGTCGCGCCGCGCCGGCAGCATCACACAGGCGGGGGGGCTTGTTTCCGCTAACTGCACCTGCTGTACTTTGCGCCTTTCCTTTCCGACGCGTTCGATCGTATTTCCGAATATCGTTAGATATGTCTGCTTAGCTGCACTCTTTCTCGATGCTTCTTTCACTTGACAAATTGAAGTGTAGATTTCTTGTTTAGTTAATGTAATTCATTCATATGTATTGAAGATTTTTTGAACATGCCATGGATATAATTCGAGCAGCAGAGGATCATACAGGAGGAAGTGGCAGAGGGTGCAGTAGAAACTAGCAGACTGTTTACTATAAGGCGCGTTATACCGAGGGCTACACCCTGTGCGGCGGCGGTGGTGGTGGCGGCGGCAGCCGATAATGTTCACGCACATAGATAGGTTAGGGGAGGTAGCTGGACTGCTGTTCCGTCCGTGTTTATCTGCCGCGTTACCGAAGTCCACGAAGTCGCGTTCCGCTCGTCGCGAACATCCACCGCACTTGTCGATCGCGATGAGAGATTCGTAGCGGAGGAGGTTAGACACGCTGAGGTAATCAATCGATGCCCGCGAGAAGCGACGATCGGACGCGAGATAACGGCGATAAGGCGTGGGATTTAAACGTGGGCTTCGAGCGGTCGGGCGATTCGTTATGCGGAAGTCGACTTTAATTCTTGCCGAACTTTTCCATGACGAACCGGTTAATGTTAACTTTTCGTACGCTCGTAGAGATTCGAGAGTCTGCTTGATGAGCAAATGCATAGATGAATAAATGTTTAACAGCAGTATAGAGCTAAAGGTTCTCAATTAATGATCCGTTATATAGATGTGTACTTTGTCAAATATATTCCTTCCATTACCGTTATGTCGGTGTGTGTAGCGAATAATGTACGTTCGACGCATGTAGCTTGTTAGAATGGAACATTTTATAATAATATATTTTGAATTAACTATATTAGAGTAATTAATGAAAAGTTAACTTATAAGTATAATATAATAATTAATCATATGAATACCACTTACATCTAATATTCGCAGTAGAACAGTATCAGCAACGCTAATGAGCTTGGCGAGTAGAAATTTATTAATACTGTGTGTTTTGCAAAGTACAGGTGCCGGGTGTCTAGAACACAGTTGGCAAAATGGGCAAGTTGTTGTCAAAGATCTTTGGCAACAAGGAGATGCGTATTCTCATGTTAGGACTGGATGCTGCAGGAAAGACTAGTATCCTTTGAGATTTAACAAATACATATGTCATGTTTCGTATATCTCATATATATTCTTTTTTTTTATTGCTATATTCTTCTATCCACTGACTTTTGTTTATCCATGATCTTTTTTCTCCGTTGTATTTTCTGAAAATCTTGTGCAATTTAATATATAGTGATGAGAATCTTGGTTTGTTATATATGCTTTACATTATAATATATATAATATAATTACTGTCTTCATTATACTATATTCATTTCCTTAATCAAATTATATCAGCAATATTGTATAAACTTAAACTAGGACAGTCTGTAACAACTATACCAACAGTAGGATTCAATGTAGAAACAGTTACCTATAAGAATGTTAAATTTAATGTGTGGGTAAGTCTTGAGCTTTTGCTATTCTTGACACAGCAATATGCTGATTTCAAAGTTATTCTGATGTATCAGTCGTTTGCTGTTTTAGATAAATGAATTATTTTTATCGTTTAGGATGTAGGTGGTCAAGATAAAATACGTCCATTATGGCGTCACTACTATACAGGGACGCAAGGACTTATTTTTGTAGTAGATTGTGCAGATCGAGATAGAATTGATGAAGCTCGCCAAGAACTCCATCGAATTATAAACGATAGAGAAATGCGTGATGCTATAATTTTAATTTTCGCAAATAAACAAGATCTTCCGGATGGTAAGTAACATACAATTGACAGCACAGATAGTATAATATACTATATGCATGCTACAGTTGTTTTTACAGGTTGGTGTTACAGTATAGAATTTTTTTATTTGTACTCTTTAGCTATGAAACCACATGAAATACAAGAAAAATTGGGATTAACTAGGATACGAGATAGAAATTGGTACGTTCAGCCATCTTGTGCCACAACAGGAGATGGGCTTTATGAAGGCCTTACGTGGTTAACCAGTAATCATAAATCATGAGCAAATATTTATTTTTCACGTATTAGCTTTATATATATATATATATATGTATGTATGTATGTATGCATGTATGTATGTATATGTATGTATGTATGTGTGCGTGCGTGTGTGTGTGTATGCATGCGCGCGCGCGTGTGAGTGTGTGAGTAATTGTGTGTGTGTATATATATACATATATATATATATATATATACATACGGAGAATACATGTTTGCTTTATATTTTTATTTTAATTTATCATGTGGAGGCTCTGTAAAACAAACAATTGATAATGACGATAGATTTGATGAGGTCTTTTTCACAAGCAAAGTTGCTGCGGGTGCAAAAAGGAAAAATCTATAAAGACAATTATTAATGGTGTGTTCCAATAATATCGATACTAGGTGAATAGTAATTTATTGTAAACGAGGTACCAAGAGACGTAACCTTTGTTACTAGCTATTTATCCCAATTCATGGAAGTAATTACATTATTACTGAATAGGGTTACACGGGTTTAACATCACTATACTGTAACATATTCACGCAAGTGTACTACTTCACGAGAGATAAGTTGTACAAGTTAAACAAAGGAAGAAAAAAGGATAACGAGAATCTAGTTATGATATTAAGGGGTTCACAGATTCACAAGGATTAGTATACTGTATAACTTACCTTATAAACCCTTTCCGATATCTATGTATTGTTATTCGAGAGAGTTGTGTTTTTCGAACGGAAAGTACCTCAAGTTTTTAACGAATTACAGTTAGATTTTTAACTCCGCAATATATATTGTTGTCAATGCTAAACTAACATGTATCATATAATATTCATACATATAGACCTTAACTATGACACGTGAGTAAATTTGTAGCACCTACAATGAGGCTTTATATAGTCCAACGAGGTTTATTCGTTCGTTTCGGTGAAAATCATTACCATTTACTTACATTCTCGTGCCGAAAAATTGCTCGTAATTCATCAGTTTGGTAACGTCGTCTTCCAACTCAACAGACTATGTAAACTTTTTGATCGGCCCCCGTCTTTTTCGTTCGTCTTCTCAGACATATTATATATTTTCTTCATTTCTTTTCTTTTTTTAAGTAATATTTTAATCAGAACGCGAATAGTGCATAATTAATTGCCAGAATTCTCTTATCATTACGCACAAGTCATGAAATTACAAAAGCGGTCTTACCATATTTATCTGAATTTATTAAAATAGAAAACAATGCAACACACGGAGTTATCGGTTTACTGATACTGTGAGCTCAAAAAAAAAAAAAAAAAGGAGAAAAAGAAAGATAACATTACATTGAGCATAACAGCATTGAATCTGCCAATATTTTTTACCGTTTAAGTGAGTATTGGATAATAAAGCATTAGTATTAGGTCGCAACGATTAAACCATTAATCTAACGGCATCTTATGGATGAAATAGGTGTTTTTGTCGTGACTTTCGTTTCTCTCAATAGCATAATCCGTAGCGTAAGATTAGTACGAATTCATACTTCGATATTCATAATTGACTCATATATGAAGTTCACAAGTGTTCAAAACATTCGTATGATTATCAGTCGAATTGAGTTATTAATAAATAGTGGTGGCGAACATCTACAATTCGTCAATACATTGACACCTTGTTTGCATTCCACGGTAAATTAGCGAGTTAGATTGTTAGAGAAAGAGAGAGATAGAAGTGTTTTAGTTATAAATAATCTACATAAATTTAACAGAGATTTTCCAGGCGTAAGTTCGTAAATAACTTTCTCAGCGTGTCCGTACCATTAATATTAAGTATTTCACTTAAGAAATGGCGTAACGATTGAGCACATCATCTGTAAAAATCGTAATCAGGCTTTGGAGATATCGAGCTGTTTTCCATAACATTAGCTGCATTAATTAATTAGTCTATGGTCAAGTGTTTGTGCGACCATGTCATCGTAACTCTGCATTTTTACCAATGTGTAAAACAGCGACGACATATTACTTATTATGTACTAACTATATAAAAAAAATATATATATTCTTTTAAATGCAATAATCATAAATTGTTACGTTTTACCATTGGCTTCGGTAAGAGAGCCACCTTCATTATTAAATACAATGTTATAATGTTAATTGACGAAATTTTATGTATATAAATATGTTCCATATTTCAAGTGTAGTGTTTTATGTGTGTGTCGAATGTTTCATATGTTCCATGTGACTATTACCACTTCATGAGAAAAATTCTAAATTATACTAATGACAGGGACTACATATATACACATAAAAGGGGGGGCAGAGCTATGTTGACACAGTGAGAACTAATATAGGAAATATCTTACTTCAATTTTGAAGGACGTGTAAACAGAAGAGAAAACTCGCTTCTATTAAGATTTAGGAAGAAAGTAAACTTTTTCCACTTTTGTTTGTATATAATGAACAATTATTCGTTTATACATCAAAAGTGAAATGTACTTCATTTCACGTCGTCAACTATGTGACATGCGTACACTGACATATGATGAATCAAAAATAATTCAGAACTATAGAGCGTTCACTTCAGTCCAAAGCCTGAACACAACAAGAATCTCATAACATTCGGGAAAGATCTACGAATGTGATTTATAGAGATCATTGCTAGAATTTTGTTACTATATTGCTAATTATACCGAGTAGTAATTTAATAAATTTTTCTATCTGGAGTTTGGTGATAACATAACGAGCAAAATACTATTACAGTGGGGCTATAATGCACGTGATTTTTAAATTTGGTTCAACGAATGAATAATAATGTTCAATGAATAATAATTTTGTTATTATACTTTACACAGGGCAGGAGAAAACTCGGAAACAATTTCGAAGATGGATATATTGTATAAATCTTAAACTTTGTTGCTGTAGATCTTTTCAACAAGATGCGCTGGATAATTTTATTCGAGACAGACGTATACATAGTAATATGTCGTCCCTTTTATTCAGCCCTTCCCCTTCTACATATACCTATACTGCATACACATATACGTACCATTTCGGTTAGAGAAGAATATCCAGACATTATTCGTCATTCGTGAAAATAACGATGTTTGATAACTTATACGACATCTTACCACAGGGGCCATACAAAAATAAGGCTCATAAGGCGCTTTGGAATATAAGAAATAATATTACACATAAATTGACGCGCTATCAGCTTACACATGGATTGACGCTATCAGCCAGAGAATTCCTAATGCACCAATCGTAAGAATATCTCTAAGAATGAAATATCTGCCTTAAGAGAGAAAGAGAAAAGTTTAGCGATACAAGAATTAACATTGTTCTGTTGATTTATACATATTCTCGCTATTTATTTCTATCGTTTAAGTAGAATCTATAGCACGTTACACTCTTCATAGAGATATGTCTTGTGAATGTTATAAAATTATTTATACATACAATCGTTATTTGTGAAACGAAGTGTAATGTCTTTTTCGTATTTTCGATGAATAAGCCAACGAACGAATTATACTCTGCAAAAAGCGTAGGAAAAGCAGATTATACGTGAAATACCTCGGGTATAGAAGTAACTTGAATTAGGGGCATTGCTGGTGCAGCAGGAGCTTTTTGGCTCATGGTGTATATAAGATACACATATATAATAAATGCAATATAAATAATAGCAATTTTTACGAAATCGGAAGTCGACGAAGTTAGAAAGTATATATGTACTTGTATATTACTATCATTTGTATAATAAAAATTTCTTTAAATTATGCATTCTGTGCTGTGCATCGAATACGCATCACGTATATTTGTATTATATTTATCATAATTTATAGAAACATGTTAAGGATCTTTATTTTACAATCTTTTTTGGTATTTTAATACTTGTCCTTTTTTTGCCTACACCTAAACTAAAAATAATCGAGACGATAACAAAATATGTATGTATATACATTTATAGAGTAAATAACAATATTAAAATTCTGTAAGAAAAGTCATGGTTTTATTCTTCCAATAATCTGCATTTCAATTAATCATATACGAGACAACCGTCATTATTTTCCACGTTTTTCGCTATATTTTCGAGATTTTTATTATCGAATTAATATTTATCATCAAATTAATATTTATAAGATATTCAATACAAAAGCGAGAAAAATGCACATTGAATGTCACATACTTAAAACATGCTCTGCCTCTTCACGAAAATTAAATCTAGATAAAGAAAATCGAGGTACTCTTATATAAATAGCTAAAGTAAAAAGATACGAATGTTATGTATATATTTAAGCAAGCATAAGAATTGATTTTATCACATATTAAAAAAAAAAACTTGAAAATAAAGCTATCTAAATCCCTTCTAAAATCATATGTTTACCGTATGTTCCAGATTACATATATACATATACACACACATATATATATATATATTTTCCTATATTTTTTACTGTGTAAAATGTAATACCAATTGTAACGTCGATTTTTATATCTTTTTTTTCTTTTTTTTTTTTAAGTTAATACTTACAAACTTACAGATTCACATACGAGACTCCCGTAACCGTTCATTTTTCGTTCAAGAGATATCTGGCGTATTAAAAATAAGCTAAAGCTTTTACACATCCTAGTGTCAATTCGTATATGTAGCTTAACTGTACTAATCTAAAAGACTATACTTACGTGTTAAAACACCCGTAATATGTACATTAGAGTTAAAGTTACTAACAGTTAGTACATAGTAAAAGCGTTTTTAGAACTGAGATTCATATACAGAATATTTCTCACAAATATATCGAAGTGTGACTTGTCACGATCACAAAATTTAAAGATCTTTGATAAAATATTTAAACACGAATATCTGATCAGATTTATAACACACTTAAAAAATCATTCTACTGTACAATTAACAGCACGATCATTATATCTTCCATTTAATCAGTTGTATATCTGTATCATTCGTTCTTCAGATACTTCCTATTTCGATATATTCCTGTAGAGGTTTATAGTATATAGTTGGATGCTATCTGCTGGGTCGTTGTTCTTCCACGAGGGCTATCAATCGCTGCCGGGTTTTCTTATTGTTTTGACAGGCCGCCGATATTAAACCGACCAAATGTTTAACTGAATATTCCTGCAAAATGCAGTTTATATGTTAAATATCGCAAATATTGCGCTTAAAGCATATTATATAACTTTAGGTACCTTGTGCTCCTTGATCCATTCTTCGAAGCTATTCTCAGGGAGATAATAAGCTTTAATATACAGTTCAACGTATTCTCTGTGCGGCATAGGTCTCAACGACGTCACTTTCTCAAACTTGGATTTTAGTTGTGTAAAATCCAATTGCATCAGTGCTCTACCGCCGTTCGAACATTTCTTCGCATTGGAAAATCTACAATGATAATATCGTATTTTCTTTCAACGGACTTCTTTGCACTATCAAGCACACTCAGAAATGTAGCAATAAACTTTTCTTCACGTACCCTTCCACTAAAGTGTGTGTGATTAAGTGAGCTACGTTTTCCCATACCGCGTTACATACATCCACGTGTAAGGGAGTGCACGTTCCGATAGCGTTAAGTCTTTCGTCCAAAGTACATACTTCCTATAAACGATAGCAAGCAATTCCTAATATTATTCACCATACTGAAAATGAGAAAGAGTCCCGTTTCACGGAAGATAACGCTTACCTGGATTAATGCATCGATATAATTACTGTGCTGTGACATGACGTCTGTCACTTCCCAATTGACTCTGTTCATTAAATTTAAGATATTTGCAACATCAAACGTTTGCGATATTACTGCCATATAAACGGGTTTTCTCAGATCTATCGTAGACGCTATCGTTTGCATATAAAACTGATGCAAAAATCCTCTTTGAGGACTATTGGCAATAAGATGCTCTAAGTAAGGCCTCAGGCCTTCGTATTGTTGTCCTAAAAATATCAGAGACTCGACAGCTACAATACGTTCCGTTAATCCGTAAAGTTTCTCAGGCTGCGACAAATTCACAATTGATGAAAGCTGTGGTTGTCTTACTTTGTTGTACTTCGCATTACCATTATCTTCTATTGTATCATTCTCAGAGATAATCAGATTTTCTCTGATTCGCGTTAAGGATAGTTTTAATTTTGGACTGTACAGCGAATCGCTATTGATTTGCTGGAAGAATAGAAACATATTTTAAATACATTCCAGTGTCCACGCGACATACGATCGTAGATTTAACATAAACTTACGAGATCTGACGTAAAGAATAAGTGTACTGTGTAGAAGCATAATTCAAAAAATTGTATCATGCTCTCTATGACGGTGACCGCGATCGATCGTAAAAGCCTCGACATCTGTAAATACTTGCCGCACACTCTCAATATGCTTAATGTCGTGTTCGTGACCATAGGCCCGGACTGTTTGAGTTTGCATTTCTTTTTGCTAGCTTTTGTATGGTCTGGCTCATCGACGTATTCGTGTTTTAGTTCATCAGGAATGTCGTCGTCAGACTCATCCGAAAAATATGCTGGTTGATTAACCAGCTAGATAAGAAAATACAAATACCATTAATCAATAATAAGAGAGAAAAACTGAGTAGAATATAAACGTATTATGTGCACAAAGACATGTAACAGTTTTAAATATTATCGAATATAATATTAAATTATTATCAAGTTATTAAAGTAATAAATATGTCAGGAAATATAAGAAGTTCCAGGCCACTTCAGATCATTTTTCACAGTTCAAACAAATTACGATGAATAATTATAATAATAATTATTATTTAACGTTTTTCTTACATCATCTTTTATCATGATATCTTCATCCATGGTATCGTCCAATCCTAGCATAAACGGTGACGAGCCATCCTCCAAATATTTCTGCAGCCAATCAATGCCTGTAGAATTGTCACTATCGCTTAAATTTGAACTGTCAAGACTGTTCCACACTTTGCAGTTATTAAGAGAAGGTTTCAAACTTCGAAACTCTAATAATTGAGTAGCCACAAAATTTGATTTCACGGGACACAAATTCCAACCGTCATTCTCTAGATACATTCTCAATTCGTCCAAACGTGACGCGTGGTAATGAGAAAAGTAAGATGAGGATTGCTCCTTAATGGACTCCTGCAAGTTTTCTGATTTGTAGCCACAAAGCTCTTCTCCAATTTCCATCAATCTGTAATTAACGGAGATTTTATCGGCAGTTCGTTTAGCTGCTCATCACAAAATTGCCAAATTACAAAGTTAAACCAAGTGTGAGAGAGAAGTTACTGTTTCTAGTGTCTATCACCAATTTACCTACCTATTAATTATACCTAATACTTGAACAAATTGCTCAAATTTAGTGTATGTTAAATCAGTGTTTGTCAGATATGTCGATATCTTTGTTTCCACATCGTGCCATACTCGGACCATACTATTTTCTAGCTTATGCTTGACATATTGCTTGCTAAAAGTTGCCTCTAAATCTTTAACGTCGGATTTACACTCTGCTTTATCTTCTTGTGCATTATGCCAATTTACAACTAGATAATACGAGCTCAATATCGTCCATAATGATTTACACAGTTCCGTGAGGCAGGCTATGCATTTCTCCCGAGGTACAGCTTGACACAGTTGCTTGTATTGTCTTTTCATGTCACCTCCTGCGTAACCATGTATAGCGGTCAATGCGGTATTGTGAATGGCAGCGCTAAAATGTAGATGCAGTTGATCCATGGCAGATTGAGTCTTGCCCAATAGAGTGTATGCTTCCTGGATGGAGGAATATACTGCTACGTCGAATTGTGTACACATTTTAGAAAGTGTAGTATCTAAAGCTTCTTCTACTTGCACCAGAATATCTTGTAATTTTTCGTTTAGTTTAGCAATGCAGTGAAAATGTTTGTAAGTCTGAGCAGCACTTTGACATTCTAGGAGAAGTGATATGGCTCCAGGATAATTTCCCTCATTTAGAAGCTCCTGCAGACGATCCCCCGTACGTTGCTGGTAACGCAATAATTATATTCATCAAAATCAAAAATGTTTTTTGATCAATTTAATACAATGTAGTAACACAAATAATTTTTAGCAATAGTCCAAATAACTTTTTAAAGTATAGGCCATTTTTCTTTAACATAAGCAAAATAAAATATATGAATTGACCTACCAGTGTTTTTATAGTATTTAAATTATTTAACAGATCTTCAACCGTTTGTCGTTTCCGATAATTAGCTAATATACCTAAGCTTGCTGTCGTGAATTGTTCCTTAGCTAATTTTAAGTCTGCCCTCCCCATTTTACATATCTCTAATACATCTTGCAGTTGTTCTTGCAGCAGCAAAATTTTCTTAAATTCTGTGTTACAATCAGACTGCTTTTGCATGATAAGCTGTAATACTTTCTTAGATACAACTTGATGTTGTTGTTTGAGTTTTTTATAACACTTTTCAATTTCCTTGGAGTGCAATATCATTGGTAATTTTTCTAATTCATAACGAGGTGGATCAAAACTACCATCCATATTAAAATAAATGTCTTCGATAGATTCTATATCTTGATCAGGTATAGGCTCACTTTCTGTTGACTGATCAGCCTCAGAAAGTAGATCTTCACATTTTTGTGAATCAGGTGGATTAAGTAGATCAGGATTCAGGCCCATAAGTGGTACTTTAGTTGTGTTCTAAAAGTTTACGACAAAAGTTATTACAGATTATATTTCTTTACTTGTAACATTATTTTTTTATTATTTGTAATAGAAAAATTATCTTTCTAAAAAGTTTAGTTTTACCAAATTTTAATTAATAGGCAAAGTATCTATTAATAGATAAGCAATTAATAATAGATAAAAGATTGAGCATGGAATTATTGAAGCTAAATGGATAGCTTCTTTAAAATGTGACACAAGTATTGTAACACAGAACAATAATAAAAATGTTTTCGAAATAAAGTGTTGTCTAGCAAAGTTGCTATTTTATTGAAATGATCTTTTGTGAATTGCGTTGCTAAGAATGGTAAAACGAAACAGCATGACATTGTTTGACGTAACGAAATGCCAAATTTGGCTACGTTTCTCTATAGTTGGTCACATAACCTAACTGTTAAATAGCGTAAGTCAAATAAGGCTTATCTCAGACAGATGTAGTGTGTACTTGACTGAAAGAATATCCGTAAATAAACGACTTGCCTGTTTGTTAATGAGGCCAAAGAATTTATACTTCAAGTCTTCCATGATACTAGACTGACTCACGTCAGAAGATCAGAAGCATTCTCATCTGTTTACTTGGCACTCGGCCGATACGCCTGGCGTGACACTTTCAGCGGGAAGTAGGAACGGCATAATCCCGATCGATCATTGGTGATCCTTTTGATCACAAATCACGTAAGTTTCGAAACTGAATTTTGAAAAAAAGAAAAGAAGAAATTTATGACACGCATCCGTTCGTTTGCACATGCGAACACAAGGACAACAGTGTCATCGAAATGTTATCAAGACGCTCCCTTTTGAAGTTGGCTATAGTGCACAACATCATACATTCACACGCACTACAGCATCGACGAGGCACTAATAAAGACTGTCAGTCTTACGGTACCGAGTCGGTACGAGTACCGACGAAGAGGAGCCTGAAAGCGGCCTCTGAAAAAATGCATGCACATTACGTCCGTCCTCGTAACGGCAAAGCGTGCGCGGTCCGCTCATCGGCGGTGAGACAAAGATGGAGAGAGCGATTGATCGGTGACGAGATCTGTGCTTTTCTAACTAAAGCCAGCGGCACACGGTGCTTGTTTTCGTGCTGGATTGCTTGCTGGATGAAAATACTGCGTTCTGATTGGTATATTTTCGAAGATGGATGGAAATGCACCAATCAGAATGCAATATTTTCATCCAGCAAGCAATCCAGCACGAAAACAAGCACCGTGTGCCGCTGGCTTTACTATCTTTGTAAGGAAATAGAGTGAACAAGAAGAGTCATGCACACTTTGCCGTTAACATCAGGATGATCGTAGTGTGCGTGTATTTTCTCAGAGGGCGCGTCGGAAGAAACGTCCCAGAGTATCCGACCCAGTGGCCGCTCTCAGGTTCCTCTCTGGTTGTAACGATCTTATCTAAAATCTAAACGGATAGAACTCGTTCCTGTCACGTATCGTCTCATAAGGAGCACCCGGAGCGTTTGGTCAGATTCGGCCTTCACTGATTATTGAGAGGAGTATAGTTTAGTAATTTTCACACGCGTTGCATATATACATACATTTATCCGTATAGATAAATTATACTGCCTTGTTGTCGATAACCATGACATACTTGCACTCGTGGGAAGAATTCGAAAAAGGTGCCGAGAGGTTATATCTGCAAGATCCGTTGAATGTACGTTTTACAACGTGTCATTACTTTTATTGATTTATCATCATTTTATTTGGTATCATTTGTATTCTAATATATATTCTAATATATATTCGAACGTGGTAATAATACTGTCCATTCAATTGCAACTGTAATTTCATATCAGTAGAAAACACCAATTTCAGAACCTTTGTATACACCATCTGTGTCAGTATTAATTTATTGAATTAATAAAAATCATCGCTATAATCACTGTGGTTTAGAAGATGTAGAAATACATATCTCATTTGAAAGTTAAGATTTTCTTGTCTCATTTGTAAGGTATATATTCAAAAATATCATTAAATATTATATTATCACTTACTATATATTTCTTCACAAGTCATTCAATGTTTATACAAATGAAAACTGATCCAGGTTTGTACAGGATGTTATATTAACTTCATATATTGGTCATTATTCTAAAATTATATTCTATCAGTTATATTTATCTTATTATACAAAAATGAAAAGTATTGCATCAGCTACTTATCTATAAGATTGTTTGCTTTCTATTACTTGTGTTGAAGAAATGAAAATATACATGTACAAGAGATAGCAATATACTGACGTTGCACTATATAGTGCTACTATACAATCAAATTGATGATTTTTTGCAAATTGTGAATAATCTGGGATAATCGGTATTGTCTGTACAATCTGGGATTGTCGGTACGTTGGATTGTATTTTTTTATATTACATCATACTTTCCCTTTCCTTTGTTTCAGACTCGTTATACGATGAAATATTGTCATAGTAAAGGAATTTTATGTCTAAAACTAACTGACAACAGACAGGTAAGTAATATAGTCTATGGTATATAGATATGCATTACTTAATATTTCTAATAAGAGCAGTATTAATAGCAGTGATAATTGAAATTGCTTACAGTGTCTCCAATATAAAACAGAAATAGCTCAAGATTTAAAAAAGATGGAAAAATTTATAGGCAACCTTATGAGACATATGGCATCAAAAGATAGTTGAATAAGCAAGATTTATATATATAGAATTTTTTTTCTACATGGAGACTAAGACATTCTACCTGTGCAGTTAAGGTTTTGTTATCTCATAAGATTTAATGATTGTGCGATCCACGGATATGTTAATTTTGTTTAAGGTATTAAAACTTTTTTTAAATATACAATATATGCGTATGAAATTGCTTTATTATTTTTTTTTTTTCATTTAAAGTTTCATAATTATTTCGGATAGCCCCGTTGCCTCCTCGTTAAAGTTCTGGAACAAACGAAGTTGTGTAAAATAAAAAATCAAGTGAGATATCGCTTCCAATATTTGCAGTGTATATCACAAATTCTCCGAATTCCAGACATCCAAAAAATATCATTATAAGTATATAATTACAATGTGTTTACTAAAAGTGTGACCGACACAACTCCCGATTGAAAACCGTTACATCGAAAATATTTGAACGGGCAGATAGAGAAGGGCTCTTCCCATACGACGCAATATGCAAGATATCCCAGTTATTGTCTAGCGCTCACTAGAAAACGACGTGTTTAACAATGAGTGGTATATACGTCAAAAGATTTGAAGCTGTTTTCCTTTGCACGCATCCCAAAGGACCGAAAATGTCGCGGGAAGCGGCTGCGAAATACATAAAAAAGTCAAAAGCGTTTGTAAACAAGTGGATAAAGCGGTATGCAACAACAAATACCGTAGATGATCTGCCAGACCGCGGTAAGACAAAAGAGGATAAATTGATTGCACAGTTATTTTCTACAAATCCTCTATTATCGCTGCGTCAGGGACAAGTCAAATTAAAGCAAAACGGCATTATTTTATCACTTAACAGTATTCGAACTCGTCTACAAGCTTCTAACCTTAAATACCAAAGCACAATGAAGAAATCGCTTCTCTCAGAAAAGCATGTAGAGAAACGAATCGCTTGGGCGCAGGAAAATATCAATCGCGATTGGAAGAATGTTATTTTTTCCAATGAAACCTCTTTTTGGGCACGCAATACTCTCAGTCGAACTTGGTCTACCCCCATGAGCAAACTTACCCAACGGATTGTGAAACACCCGGTAAAGGTACATGCCTGGGGTTGCTTTTTCAACCAAGGATTTGGAACTTTATCTCTATTCACAGAGAATTTGGATGCGAAAAAGATGGTTAAAATTTATCAGAGAGCATTAATACCGTCCGTTGAAAAGTGGTTTTCGGGCAAAAATCAAGACTGGATTTTGCAAGAAGACAACGATCCGAAACACCGGAGTCGTGTTTGCTGCCAACGGAAAGAAGAAAATAATATCGAATTATTAGACTGGCCGTCACAATCACCAGATATAAATCCTATTGAAAATGTTTGGGGATTAATGGAGATGAAGTTACGCGGAAGGAAAATATACACGGTGAGACAACTATCTCGAGAGCTGCGTTTGATATGGCGATCCTTACCTCGACAATATGCTGAAAAATTGATAGAAAGTATGCCCAGAAGATGTCAGGCAATAATTGACAACGGCGGTGATTGGCCGATCTATTAATATAAAAGTCATAGTATTGACTGAATAGTACATATGTAATTTTTCTTATTTTTTTATAATAAATAGTTTAAAATAGTTTATGTCGGTCACGCTCTTAATAAATAAACTGTACATTACTGGTAGATATTGCATTAGATATTAATGAAGCAAGGTTCACATATCAAGAGTATCGAGAGTATTGAGATTCGATTCAATACCCGAGTATGAAGGAAGCACGAAGCAACGAAAAACAAGCACTTACGATATAATGGGTTGAAGAACAGCATCCAGAGTAGTGTCAACATGAGGGTAGATTTCTTGATTTGAAGGCAGTTCATAGCGTACCTCTCCCCCTAATTGCAATTGTGGCTATACCAAACAAAACCATTTTACTAATCTACTATTTTAGAGGAACATTCCGCATCAAGTTATTACTTCGTGAAAAAAAAAAAAAACGAAGCGATGTGATGTGTCAGCATGCAATTTAAACATCGTGTTGCCAGAAAGGATATGTTCGGTTCTAATGCAGATATCTTAGGTATTTGTGAATGTAATCGAAAGCCGAAACTTGTGTGTAAAGAAGACGCGTAGGAGACCTTAGCTATTTATTTGTAGAAGCGTTTAGCGAACTTGTAGGATATATTGAGATGCGGCGGAGATGCTGACGTGCGCATATATATTAACAATTTGTAACTATGGTACTTCCGCTTTTTTATACTTCATTGTTATTTGTGCAGAGTAAAAAGAGCCGACAATTGATTATACAACCCGACAATTGATTATCCTCAGAGAAATATTCAGACAATAGAAGACAGATGTAACCGCGACGCACACGTTTCTCTCGCATCTTAATGAGCGCAGATGATGCATTCCATAGTAAGAAATATAAACAAATCAAAATACGTACTACGTGAATAGGCTTACTGCTGTCGGCGGAACTTGAGCAGCAGCTTGAAAAATCCTGCGGCGTACTTTCCCCGAGCCCGCTGTCCGTATTATTGCCTATAGCCGACAGTATTCTGTTGTTACGAGTATAATAAAAGTCCCTCCTTGTGCTACACTCATTTCGAGCGTCGGGCAACTTCGCCTCGACTCGAGTGCTGCTGCTGGACGTTGTTGACAGCAAGTTATAACTCCCATCACGATTATGTGGCGCGAGTCTTCTGTCTCTTTTGCCGATAGATCCGACAGTTCTGAAAGTGAATCCTTGACAGTCGTCTGGCACCTCACTCATTCGTTTTCAACAACCACCCAGGTCTATCGTAGATTCCACATTATCTCTCAGATCGATGCGCATTCTTTTTTTTTCCTTTTTTTCCTCTTTTTTTTTCTTTTCTTTTTTTGTAGATACAATTAAGTGGATACATACACTGGCTATGTTCTCATGATGCATCAAACTCAATAACCATCTCATGATGCTTTGTCAAACTCAATAACCACAGACTCAAACACAAATTCCGCCTAATATGCATTCGCTTCTTCGAGAGGAACCGCGTTACACGACGCATTCTAAAGCGCAATCTCTCGAAAGTATGAGGAGATTCTAAAAAAAATGCACAAGATGCGTCGGGGATGTGTCGGGGGATCAAGTGGGATGTACGAGATATGTCGTCAAGGAGATTTGGAGACACCAGGTGTCTCCCAAGCCTCTCGAGTGCCGACATCGTCCACCCTCCCGGATACCATTATTTATTACACAAACATATGGCGCGTACCACATATAACGTACATAATGCAACGAGAAACAAAAAAACACACAAACAATAATTACGACCCCAGAACGAAGGCGACCGGCACGCATCGCCCCTTTGTGAATTCCACGGGACATACAGCCAGAGAAAAGCGAGTGAGTGCCAACTAGGACGTATATACGAAATAAACGAGGTGCGACAAGCAGTTAATCTCACTGATTTATTAAGGATTCGTCATGCTTCTCAAAATAAATAAAATAGGGGCATGCTTAAAGTAGATAATATACATGCTCGAAATAAATAAAAAATACATGCAAAAGACATCGAGAGGGATCGGGCGTTGGGGGGGGGGCGGGTTGTTGGTGATGGGGGGTTGGGGGTGACTAAACAATGACTACGGATCCCGTCTCATCCTCCAATTGCGGAGGATGGCTGTGAGGATTGCAGACCGTCTTGAGGTCATCGTACCTAGGTAGGGACGATGAATCTATGTCGTCCAATCGAGAATTGTTAGTTTGTAACGAAGATTGCTGTACAGATTGCGACTGTACCACCGTGTAGGATATCTCCCGGCGTTGTTGCTCGCTCATCCCACTAGTGTCGACTAGGCCAAATTCCAAGTGTCTGAAAGAAAAAAAATCATTTTTTCATATTCTTCATCCTTTCTCACGAGAAAGAATATCGGCAAGTCGTTAATATTTATTCAAGGAAACTCGACTTTTCTCGGCAAAAAGGTAAATTTTGTAAAAGAAAAGATTGGGCGATTTTAGATTGGCCGTGAAAGTCATAAGTTTACTAGTGTTTGCAATATTTAATATGTGCAATATGTGTATGTGTACTTTCGAAGTTCGTCCGGTAGCGGTTGTTTCTGAGAAGGACTACGGTGTCTGCTTCTGTGTCTTCTCCTAGGCTCCGTATGACTTACCTAGGATAATGTCGATAGAGTGTTACAAAGTGTGATCAATCTCAGTATCTGAATAATCTCATTAATATAGATCTTATAACAATACTTACAATAGCTTTTTGCACGCCTTCTCCTTTTCGTTTTTGCACTTCTCTCCACTGTGGCTCCGAATCTACCAATTCGTGTCTACTGCAAAAATCAATATACCGATCAATCAATATATCCGCGCGATCATCATTTCTACGTTATCATCTATTCTATCAAATAATTAAGCTACTGCACAGAATATTTTCATTTATGGCGCAATATGTGTAAAATAATAACTCGATATCAAGGCCAGATAGTAATTTTCATCAAGAGTAATTACATCAATTTTTTAAGATAACTAAATTAAATTAGAATTAAAAATAAGATTCTTAATTGATACACGATGTGTCTTGTCGCATCAAAATTACCAGATTTTAAACAATAGGCGAACCATTTTCGAGCGGAAAATATTGTTGACGAAGGTCAGCGAACTCTACTGCTTGCAGAAAAACAATACTCATTAACATCAAATTATTTTAATTAGACGTTAGTGCCTATAAGGGATATTCAATTGAATCTACGCGAGGGCACCTAACTTACGCAACAATGATGAGAGCGAGATATTATCGTCATGGGAGAGCGAGTGTAGCGTTTCAAGCTGAACGCATAACTGCATACCTAGAAGAACGGGAGTTCCTGTGTTTCCTACGATGCTTTCGGTGGCCGGATCTCGTATCCGAGCCCCTCGAAAGCTCAGACTCGCAGTCGGAGTGTCTGCTATGTCGACGGTGACTATGACTATGACTTCTTCTACGATGACCACCGCGACTATGACTATCTCCTGAACTCTGACTCTCCACCGAGCTGCTTCGACGTTGGAGTCTACTTAAGAGCTGTCAAAGAAAAAAAAATTGTACTTGGTAGGTAATTCAATTATAGAAACGTTACGTAAGTGTATCGCGCAGGCATAACTTAATCCGTGAGTAAAGTTAGATAGTTTTTTTTTTATATATTTTAATTGTAAAACCAGCAGATATAGTGATTTTTTTTTTATAAGAATCCTCATCTCGTTTATATCGCACATACTTTTAACTGACATAGAAATGTTTCCAAAGTGATATCAGTAAACTAAGTTTCATTAACGATTTTTCAAGTTATAATATCGATAACGTGAGATTCTTCTAGCTTCAGTTTTCGCTATTGTTTAAAATAGACAGCAAAGATACTTCAAGATGGATAAGGTAATGAAAATAATGAGAGATTTGTAAAATGAGCGGTCCATCTTGCACATACACATACCGCGAATGAACATTGCAATAAATTCCATTGAGTCGATACCTAGTGTAGTATAACGAGTAGGAAAACGAGTAAATATAACTATGTCAACTAACTGCCGGTGCCGCTCCCGCGGAGCGAACGGAGCGAGGACTAGACGAGGTATAAAGACCACGAGGCTGGCTCTGCGTCCACGGTGCGCTTCTCGTGCTTCTCGGACTCGAGGTGTTCACCTGCCGTTGAGTATTGCACATAACATTGCCGCTAGATGGATTGCTGCATGGATTCGAGATCACGGTAACGGGCGTTTCGACGAACGAGCCGACCATCTCTTGACCCTCGACGACCCGTCTCTGCGCCCGTCGACTGGGCGTCCTTTGAAACGGCGGTGGATTCCGCCTGATGGCCGCATGTTTCTCCAGAGTAGATTGCGGACTGTACGAGTGAAAACGAGAATACGGGCTGAGAGGCGGTGGACCGGTCGCCATTAGTCGGAAGAACGCCTGATGCTCTAGACAACATTTCCAGAGATGGCGACAGGCTCCTTTCGACGGTGTCTCAAAACCGTGCGTCCTCTCCTCGGAATTTTTCTCGCTCACTCTCAACATAAAATATCTGCCCTGGAAATTGGTATCACTCGGTGTATCATCATAAAGTATGAAGAGGTAAAATGAGAAATATTAACCGTAATATCTTTGCTCATATTCTTGGTAGTCGATCGTCTTCCTACGCTGAATTTATATATTTAAATATTTTCTTCAAGTTTATATACAGATTTCAAAAATAGATTTATAGATTCTCAGTCTAGGTCGGTTTGTAAGTTTATATTTTTATTAAGCGACACTTCAGCGAGATCAACGACATTATATATCAAGTTGTAATGGCATACATGTATTTTTTATATTTTACCTTGTAGTAAATTTTATTGATACGAGGCCAATAGTAATTCCCTACTTTGGTCTTGTTGCGTAGCAATATTATTCCGCTCGGTGTTAGACCTAGGAAATATTCTACGTTATCCTCGCCCTGCCAACGAAAATGACCAGATTTAGTCGGGATTAACGTTCACGCGATGCTAGTTACACCAGCACCAACAATAGGTTCACTCACCAGAACGGGATGTAAATCCACTCCATACATTTCCAACCACTTCACCTTATCTAGGTAATTTAATTCCGCCGCTGAGGGTAATTGACCTCTGGAAAAAAAAAGCCCTGGGTAGGTAGGGGTAGAGTAACAATTCGGAAATTACATCCGTTCGCATGACTGATCTTTCACGGACGCGAGATGACACGGACGTTCAAACCTATCACAGCTCTGTGAAGAGAAGCTGTAATTGGACTTGTATGGATAACCGGATGAGTTGTCTACAGCGCTTTGTTAACGCCCGCAAACGCTGGACAGTTTTGTGAGGCACGCTATTTGAATACTAATCATCAGGCTTGACATACATAAGAGTCTTATGGATCTCTACTATACGATTCTCCAGCTCCGTGGTTTGGTTGGCGAGGAACCGAAATTCGGTGACATAACCGGGCGAATGTCGTCTGGGATCATAATCGCCGAGTTCCGCTGAAAGAATAACGAGCGAGATCACTCGGATAATTAAACGTGTAATCGTCCACATCGTTTGCGAAGAATTTATTTTATTTTTTTTTTATGTAATACGCACTGATATTTCTAGCCTTACGTTTACGTTTGAAGTCGCCGACGAGTTATGAAGAGAGAGAGAGAGAGAGAGGGAGAGGGAGAGAGAGAGAGAGAGAGAGAGAGAGAGAGAGAGAGAGAGAGAGAGAGAGACGATCGATGCGTACCTTATGAAAAATGCGGTGCTCGTGAAAGAAACAGATAAAGCGGCAACAAGTAAAAGTGGTACTTTACTGGAGAATGGATAACCGTAGAAATATCGCAAAAAGTGCAATTGTCCCCGTCGCGTGATAACAATCACGTGAGAGAAAACTCGTCCGAAAAATCTCTCCTACTCTCTTCATTATTCGTCCGTTTTTCTCTCGCATAATGCCCTTTTCTGCCTTTTGCTGTGCGCGCGTGTGTCGTCGTTGAATACGAGGAAAGGGCATTCACATCGTCTCTTTTGACAAACGATAAGACGCAAACACACGGGAGCGAGTATTTTAGTTTGCCTCCCTTTTTTTCCCCTATCTCCGCGACTTTGAATCTCCCAGTCAGATAACTAACGCGCGTGGGCCACGGAGACGGTGTCCGTTTGCTCGTGTATTACCTGCGTTACCACATGCACACAGCATACACGAGTTTCGGTATTCACCAGCCGTGCTCTCTGCAAAGTTTTTTTCTCCCTTCGCGACTTTAATGCCTTATCCGTTTCTTTTCATCATGAGACGAATGATGCCCGCTGGATACACGACGGCGCACGAGAAACAGTGAGTGTAGCACGTGTACGTCTAATGGATGTACAATTCCGCGATACAAAGGCGATAACTCACATTGAACGACGTACGCGCCCAATTCTGCCGCCAAATCGAAGGACACGGGCAGTCTTCCTTGTAGAATGTCCTGTTTCACTTGTAGGAAGAACTGGTATCTATGGAACAAGTTGGGAAGCACGTTACACCGATTCTTCATTTTATATTCTCCGAAAGATTGTCAGTAAAGTCAAGAATGTGTGTGTGTGGATGCCGCAGCATGGAACAAGTTGAAGCGCGAGAAATGTAATTTCTGTGTGTATTTATTAGTCATAGAGAGGGGGGGGGGGCGGAGAGAAAATACAGATAAGCGAGTCAGTAAAAGCCGGAAGCACCGCTGTGAATGCGCTAAATTGCGTCATTAAAAGTAATTAAAAGCGCTACAAATACCGTGACCACTATTGTACATTACAGTGTACTTTAATTACTGCCTCAATTCGATGTCTTGATTGTACACCTGAAAGCCTTCTACGCCATTCTGTCATAAAGAAACAGCAGATGCAGATAGAATTATTACATTACATTGCATTATTACAGATTAGTGAATGGAATATTATTTTGCTTCTCAATATATACATACTGTGCGCGGGGGGGGAGGAGGAGGGAGGGGTTTAAAATTAATAAGCTGTCTATGCTAAAGTGGCAACTCATCGCTAACAATGGCGAGTACATGTTGGAGTTTCGGCTCCATTGTTAAATACTTTGTACACGGACGGAATTCACAGAAAAAAGAAAGAAAACGAAAAGAAGTTGCGCTGGCTGGAACTTATCGCATCTCGCGATAGGATCGTTTATTGTCCGACAATAAATTAGTACAAGGGCGAGCGCACGAGCGGATGAGCGCCGGGGAGCGCGTTGTCCGGTCATGCGCGACGATAGACACGCGCCTACGTATGTATGTATGCATGTACATAAGGCGCCTCGCAACAAATTCGATGCACGTGGAATTCTCGTGCGTCCGCGACGTACCGTGATGTCTCTGGAATTTCCTGGAATTTTGAGACGCCGAGCGTGAAAGGATCGTTTACACACGAGCGTGACGTCGAATAAAAATCGCTTGTATTATACGCGCGTCGCACACGCGCGTTGAAGAAAGAAAAAAGGGAAAACAAAAGCGACGCTTAAATTTTGCAGCGCTCCCATCGGCACGACCCGCGAAGGGGGGAGGGGCGGGGGGGAGGGGTTCCGAAGCCGTATTTTGTTGCTACGAAGGAAATCGAGAATATCAAAGAAAATGGCGTTACACGAATGTGCGAACAAGCAGAGAGTTGGCGTTTGAGCTAGGAAACGCGAAGGATCCACTGCCGCGATTCCGCTAAGAACAGGCCGTGCAAAAACGACTTGAAGCCACTTGCAGATTACTGGTCATACAATAGCAGATAATGGAGAATCTAAGAGGAGGATACTTTGGAAGGGATTACTGCAGTTAGAAATACATATCCCACATTAAACGAGACAAGTCAGGGGGAGGATATACCTGGTAATCTCTTCGATGAGTTTGCACGGATCCGCCGCGTAAAATTTAACGCCAAAGTAGAGAGTGTGAACGTCCGATCCAGGATCGCCTTTGTGAATCTTCAGTTGCTTACCGAGTTTCTTACTTTGATCGAGCCATTGCTAAAAGGCGTGTCGTGTTACAATCGAGGGAACATTCGTGACGAGAACTATCATTGTTGCAAACGTGGTGGACTTTAGCGAGAGACAAGATTCAAATCACCACCGATCTTCCTTACGGCCTTATTATTAAGATATTGTTAACACGTTGTCGTAGAATTAATGCGAGTACAAAATTTGCAAGTTCCATCGACCATATCCTACCGTTTGATTTCCTTGATCGAGATAGCGCAATCCAAAGTAAGAGGTCTCCAGTAGGTTGAGATGCTTGAACACTCTGTCTAATAATTCTTGGCCCAGGTTGGAGCTCTGGAAAACAAAAAAGA